CAGTTCTGTTTTGAATCCAGTACAAATCTTTCTTTATGCAGCCTTCCAAATAAATTTTCTTCTTGACTTGGGGCTAGTCACAAGATTGTTTATAATCATTAAACTGTGCATTTGTTTTGAATGATTTTCTGTATGTATTATTACACAGTTAAGAAGATTTTTAAAACCCACAAAAGACTTTTTTCCTACATCCCTCCATATAGCAAAAGAAAATTCCAGATGGATCAGAGAGTTGAATGTAGAAAGCAAAATCATAAGTGTACTTGGAAGAAAACGTAGATGAATATACCTGCCCGGAGACTCCCAGTTTACCCCTAGCTTCAGTGATTGTCTAGTAGGACTCACAGGATTCAGCATATATTTGTACTCCCAGCTAAGATTTAGTATGGCAAGGCCACCAAAGGGAAAAGTCATGTGAGTGAAGTCTGGAGGAGACCAGGTGCAAGCTTCCAAGAATCTTCTGGTGGAGTCACACAGGACATGCTTGATTCCTCCAGAAGTGATTGTGACAGCACGTGTGAAATGGTATCCACCAGAGACGGTCATCAGAGACTCGGTGCCTCAGGTTTTTATTTGGGGCTGGTCATGTTTGTACCTTCTTCCTAAAATGAACCAAAATTCCTCCCTGAAGGGAAGCTGGTGTATAAACAACTTTATTTGTACAGACAGGCATAGTGAACCACTCTTAGCAGTTCTGGAAATAGTGGGAACCCTGCTGAAATCCAGGTTTCCAGATGTCAGCCACAGGCCAGCCTCAGCTAGAAAGCATGTCTTTCTTTGTTTTTTTTGAGATGCAGTCTCGCTCTGTCGCCCAGGCTGGAGTGCAGTGGCGTGATGTCTGCTCACTGCAAACTTGCCGACTCCGCCCCCTGGGTTCATGCCATTCTCCTGCCTCAGCCTCCCCAGTAGCTGGGACTATAGGTGCCCACCACCACACCAGGCTATTTTTTTGTATTTTTAGTAGAAACGGGGTTTCACCATGTTTGCCAGGATGGTCTCGATCTCCTGACCTCATGATCTGCCCGCCTGGGCCTCCCAAAGTGCTGGGATTACAGGTGTGAGCCACCACGCCCAGCCGAAAGCAAGTCTTTCTATAGGTAGCAGTCCTAGGTCTGTGTTAACTCTTCTCTACACAATATAATATTTAAAAATATTTTGCAGTGAAAATGACTTTTCTAAGCATGCCTAGAAACTCAGAAGTCATATAGGGAAGGAATGGTAAGTACAACTGTACTCAAAAGACTTAGGCCGGGTGCAGTGGCTCATACTTGTAATCCCAGCACTTTGGGAGGCCAAAGTGTGAGGATCGCTTGAGGCCAGGAATTCAAGACCAGAGACCTCTGTCTCTACAAAAAATAAAAAATCAGCCAGGCTCCTTGGGATACTTAAGTAGAAGAACAGCTTGAGGCCAGGAGGTTGAGGCTGCAGTGAGCCGTGATAGCGCCACTGCACTCTAGCCTGGGTGACGGCAAGACCCTGTCTTATTTAAAAAAAAAAAAAAAGGGAAAGAAACATGTAGCATTTGGTTGTATCTGTAGATGTTGACCTTTCTTCCTTTTTGTGAGATTTGAACAAGCTTATCTTTTATTTAAGTATAGACGGGTCTGTGAAGATGACCTAACAGTGTTAGACTGATTCACCTCAAAGCAGGTAGAAGGCTTTACTTTTTCCTCTGGTATACCTAGCCTGTTTTAGCAGGACCCTCTCACATGGCGGTTGGTGCTCTTTCTTCCCATTCCCATGTTCTCATAATTGTATTGTGTTTAGGATGTCACATGTGCCTGTCTTGTGAGGGAGAGAAGATATTAGGTACTATGCTGGGCATACATAGAAGCATCCAAATGATTGCGTGAAAAGTAACAAGGACCAGATATTCCACACCCTCCTGCTGCTGCCGCCTCCCTGCCTGCCCCCCGTCCCCCACCGTTTTCTTTAACTTTGACAGAGATTCTCTAGGTCAGTTTATTATGAAGAGTTTAATTTTCTACCTTTGTCCACAGAACAATTCTTTTCCAATTTCTGTAGCTCAGATTTGTCGTTTCTACGGCCTAAGAGCTGTAAGGCACTAAGAAGCTGCTCGCTTACTTGTAACTTCCGCAAGCACTGTGGGTTGAACTCAGCATTCCTGAGAACTTCTTTTACTGCAGCATTCAGCGTTTATCAAATGGAATCACTGGTAGTCTCAGAATGAGCCTGTCTTTCTTTCTTCCCTCCCTTCTTTCTTTTTGTTATAATTTTTTAAACTAAACTTGTGACTTTATTTGGATTTTACCAGTTTTTCCATTAATGTCCTTTTTCCCCACTCCAGGATCCTGTGCAAGGCACCATTTAGTTGTGATGTTTTCCAGCTTTCTTTGGTCTGAGACAGTTTTTTTAGTCATTTCTTGTTTTTCATGATCTTGAAAGTCCTGAGGAGTACTGGCCAGGTATCTTATAGAGTGTTCCCCAGTTTGGGTTTTTCTGTTGTTTTACTCATGATTATATTTGGGTTATGGGTTTTTGTTATGAATGCCAGAGAGGTAAAATGCCTTTCTTGTCACATCATTTCAGGGACACACGATATCTACATGGCATCATGAGGTTAACCTTCTTACTGGACTAAGATAGTATTTGGCAGTTTTCTCTACTGTGAAGTTAACATTTCTCCCTTTTCGTATTCTAAGGAAGCAGTCACTGAATCTAGTCTACCCTCAAGGGGGAGGGTCTGTAGGAATTAAGCTCCACCTCCTATAGGGGGAAATAGCCACATATATTATTTTGAATCTTTCCTATAAGAAAAATTTGCCTCTCCCCCCCCCAGTTTCTTTAATCATTCAATAATTATTTCCATCAGTATGAACTCATGTAGATTTACATTTTGGCTTATAATCCAACGCTGTTATTTATTTTATTCCTTCTACTGTCATGGCTTGGGCCATTAGGAGTTCTTTCAGGTTGGTTCCTGTATCCCTTTGACTTGTTCCATGTTCCATTTCTTTATTTTTGAGACAGGGTCTTACTGTGTCACCCAGGCTGGAGTGCAGTGGCACCATCATGGCTCGCTGTAGCCTCAACCTCCCAGGCCCAAGCAATTCTCCTACCTCAGCCTCTGGAGTAGCTGGGACCATAGGCACTTGCCAACATGCCTGGCTAATTTTTTCTTTTTCTTGTAGAGATGGGGGTGTCTCTGTGTTGATTAGGCTGGTCTTGAACTCCTGGCCTTAAGCAATCCTCCCTCCTTGGCCTCTCAAAGTGTTTGGATTATAGGCATGAGCCACTGTGCCCGACCCCATGTTCCATTTCCTTTAAGGCACTGCAAGATGCTTCATACTCATCTTGTTTTTGCCCTGCCCCAGTCCCTAGACTCAGACCTTTTTCCAAGCAGCTTGGTTCCTTTTGCTGGAGAATGGTATTGAAAAACAAGATCAATTCTGGGTGTTGGGTATGTTTGTTGCTACTAGGATGTCATTGCTTCTGCCCCTCTCAGAATTGACCGATCAATCTGTTGATCTATCTGTCTGTCTATCCATGTATCTGTCTACATCTCTGTCATTGATCCATCTATTGAGCAATCTGTATCTATGTAATCTATCTTCCTTTAGAAAATTATTGTGGGAAATTTCTGGCAAACACAATAGTAATTCTCAGTATCTGTTATGAAGCTTGAATAATTATCAATTAGTGGCAATCTTGGTTTTACTTATGTAACCCCTCCCCAGTGTCTCCTCATTTTTTTTATTTTTTATTTTTTATTCTTTTTGAGATGGAGTCTGGCTCTGTTGTCCAGACTGGAGTGCAGTGGCGCAATCTCGGCTCACTGCAAGCTCCGCCTCCTGGGTTCACACCATTCTCCTGCCTCAGCCTCCCGGGTAGCTGGGACTACAGATGCCCGCCACCATGCCCGGCTAATTTTTTGTATTTTTAGTAGAGACGGGTTTCACCGTGTTAAATAATAGGATGGCCCCGATGTCCTGACCTTGTGATCGGCCTGCCTCGGCCTCCCAAAGTGCTGGGATTACAGGCGTGAGCCACCACGCCTGGCCGTCTCCTCATTATTTAAAGAAAATTCTACTGGCTATTATTTCACCTGCAGATATTTCCATCTTTATCTCTAAAAAATGACTCCTTTAAATATATATATTTAAATTGAAGTATAGTAGATACAGTAGAAGGTATGAAAGTATAGAGTTTGATGAATTTTTATAAACGTATTTATCTCTGTAATCATGCAGATTGAAATATGGAACATTTTTAGCTCATTAGAAAACTCTCTAATTCCCATTGACAATTTTTGTAGGGACCTTTAAAAAACAAGCATAATCACAATACCATTATAGTACCTAAAACAATTTTAACAGTAATTCCCTAAAATCAAATATCTAGTTGTTTGCGTAGGCTCCCCTTTCATCCCCATCTTCCCGCTTGCCCCAGCAGTGTACTGGTTGAAGAAGTTGCCTTGTCTGTAGTTTATCACAGTCTGGGTTTTGCTGAGAGTAGCCCCATGGTGTCATTTAACATGTCTCTCATAGTGACTTTCTTGGGGAAACTTGGCTGTTTCTTTCTAACTAGGTAACCCTAACACAGTAATGGGCAGTGATCCTGCCTTTGGAGAAACTTCATCAGTAAGATAATTTCACCAGGGATAGATATATTGTCCCTAATAACTAATGGTATCTGATTAAAGTTTTGCTGCCTTGTTCTACTAACTAGTTCCATAAATGCCTTCAGTAATCTTGTATCCTTTCCAGTATCCAGTTAAAACTGAATAACCTTGCATGTGGGAGAGAATTTTTTTGTTCTTGGTTTTGTTTTCTTCCATTCTAAAAGGTAGACCAGGATAGAACAATTCACCTTTTTGGTGGTGTTTTGTAGCTCTGTCAAAATATCTGTACAGGGCTAGCTATGGTTAAAGTTCTGACTAAAGGATTGCAGTACAGAAGAAAGGAATAAGCTATGAAAAAATTGGTCTTGGTTGTTTTGGTTTGCTAAATTCTCTCTCTTTTTTTCTTTTTATATTATAGATCAGCTTGAACGAGTCTTTTTACGACTTGGCCATGCTGAAACAGATGAACAGTTACAGAATATTATATCTAAATTCCTTCCTCCTGTTTTGCTCAAACTGTCTAGCACCCAAGAAGGAGTACGTAAAAAGGTAAGCATGTTGGGACAGCTGGGGGAATTAAATAATGAATAAATGAATACACATTATCAAGTGAGTTCTCTGTTCCCATTATTGAATTCTAGGTTTGTGATCTTAATTATGGCCTTTCAAAATGGAGAGTAAGTGTAGAACCAGCTTTTATGATTTAAAAGTAGCTTTTGTATCCTTAGCACAGCTGTCTTTAGCACCAACTGTCTACTTGGCATCAGTGCCAGATAATATAATTGAGATAATTATCCTGGAATGGATGGAGACATGATCTGAAATCCATGCCCTTGATTCCAATATGAAAGTCGTGTGGTAATGGGGCAAAAATATTCTTTAGTTGGTTGTTGACAAAGACTATAATTTTAACTAAAAGTAAGCAAAATAAAAAAAATTTAAGCGAAGTATTGTATAGCTCCTGTTTTAGGATTCTGCAAAGTACTCTTACAAAAGGTTGGATAACTGTCACATCAGTATTTTCATTTTCATTTTCTTTCTTTTTTTTTGAGATAGGGTCTCACTCTGTCACCCAGGCTGGAGTGCAGTGGCACAATCACAGCTCACAAGAGCCTCCATCATCTGCGCTCACGCCATCCTACCTCAGCCTCCCAAGTAGCTGGGACTACAGGTGCAGACCACCATGCCTGGCTGATGTTTAAATTTTTTGTAGAGACAGGGTTTCACTTTGTTGCCCAGGCTGGTCTCAAATTCCTGAGCTCAAGCGATCCACCTGCCTTGGCCTCCCAAAGTGCTGGGATTACAGGCATGAGCCACTGTGCCTGGCCAGTATTTTTATTTTTTAATGGAACTGTTCTACATGGAACATTTTCCTCTTGATTTGTAGAATTGTTCATTAGTCTTCCAGTATATTTATAATAGGTCATCCAGTCTTTGAGCTATAGTCAGGTTTTATTCCTTGGGCCACTCTAATTGGCAGTGACTTCCTGGAGGTCTGCCCTGAGAGGATTCCAAAGTCTGATTTGGGTTCAGTGCAGAAAGAGTATCTTGAAGAATGTCTTTTATGTTTATGTTTCTTTACAGGAGGGAATGGCATTCTTGTCATGTATTTGGCATGTCTGCTGTTAATCCTTCTTTGCTGAGATAGACGTGCATTTGATTATATCACTCTTCTATTTAAAACCCTTCTGCGACCTTCTCTTACCCTTAGGATACCAAGGTCTAAAAGGCCCTTCAGGAGTTGATTTCTCTTTACTTACTTAGCTTTATCAGTTTCCTTATTTACTGAGTGCCTTCTATATGCCAAATCTTGGGGATATGGTGATGAATGATGACAACACCTGGTTGGGGAAATCAGTATAAAACAGTCAGGCAAATAGTACATAATTATAATTTGTGATACATACCAAGATGGAAAAGGAAAGGATTTTATGAAAGAATATATTTGGGACATAATTTAGACTAAGTAGGGGGTATAAGGGGAGGCCTCTGGTGTGTGCAGGAAGTAGCCAGGCTAAGAGATGGGGGAGACCATTAATAGGCCCTGTGCAGGTGTTCGGAGCAACACACAAAGTGTGATGCTTTCAGGAAATTGGAGAAGGCCACAGTGATGTCTCCAGTGCATGAGAGGAAGCCTGATAGGAGGAAAGAGGTATTCCAGGGGCACTAATTTGAAAGGGTATTGATGGTAGTGCCACCATAACTCTAGCTGTTGGCTGGAGAAAGATTTGGAGTAGAGGCCAAGAGTGGAGACCTGAAGAGCAAACAGGGAACTTTTGCATTAGTCCAGGTTTAGTATTGTCAGTAGTTTCAACTCATTTACTTATCTTAGATTTTTTTTTTTGTTTCTTTGTATTTTATTTTTTTATAGAAAGTCATTCATCTCTGTCCATCTACTTTAAATGTTCAGTTTGTATCATTCACTTCTATGATACTATTATTATTTTTTTAAAAATAAATTTTATGTATATTTGAGGTTTACAATGTGATGTTATAGAATACATATAGATTTTAAATGTTTACTGAAGCAGTTGAGCATATCTTTCTCACATAATTTTATACTATTACTCTTAATATTCTATTATCATTATTTCAAATGGGAAATTCTATTCTTGTTTCTGATTTTATTACTACCAAAGTTTTAACCTTTTAATCGGCCATTTTGAAAGGAAACCCAGCTTTTAGATTAATGTTCCCTTTTTAACTGTATTTTTTCTATTTTTATTCAAATTATTTCCTTTTTTGGATATGTTTTTCTTGTGTAAAGTTTTAATTTATATAATAATCTGTCAATGCTTCTTATGTGTCAAGAAAAGTGCTAAGGACTTACATCCTCACGAGGTTATGTGAGGTAGGCATTATCCCCATTTTATAGATGAAACTGAGGCTTGGAATGATTAATACACTTGTTTAAGGTCAGATAACAAATGGTCAGGCCAGGATTTGAACCTAGGGCTTTTGAACTTCACAATGTAAGCTTGGCCATCAAGTTAAATGCTTTTTTCTTTAATTATAATATGTTTAAAAAAAAGAACCAAAAATGCCCTCAGCTTATGAATTTCTCCTTGATGACTATTTTAGTTACATTTAATAGTTATATTGATGTGCAGTTTGGTCATTTTATCTTTGACTTATTTATAAGATTGTTGTTTTTAGTTTCAAAATATTTGATATAAAATTTGCCTGGTTTTATTGCATTCTGGTCAGAGATCATAGCGTGCAAATGTTACAGTCCTTCAAAGTGTATTCTAATGTTTGTAAGAAAAGCCTTTCAGAAGATAAAAGGGATACTTCCTGTTTGTGGAATATGGAGCTCAGCATGAGTTATGGCCATTCATTAGTAACATTGTGCATTTATGTCTTGAACCTGTCTTCCAGTCCTATTATAAGTTGGTAGTCCTGAAGTATAATGTCATACTACTGTTACAGTTTTTCTGATTTTTCTTTCAGTTTTGATAATCTTGGCTTGCTGCATTTTGATGTACAAGTTTAACACCTTGTTTTTATTAATAATTATAGTATTTTATGTATATTTTTTATCTTTTGAATTCCATTTAAGGTTTTTTCTCCAAAACCTGTTTTATCCAAAATTAGTATTGTTAACCATCGCTTTCCTTCTGTCTGATAAATATTTGCCCCAGCCTGCAATTTTAACCTTATTTACTTTGGCTGTATCTCTTAGTACAATGGAAATGTCACATATTTTTGAGGTTTGAATTGAGGGCATTTACATCAGTTATTGTGATTATTAACCTAAATTTTTAAGAAAAAATTTTATTGATACATAATTATACATATTTATGGAGTACATGTGATATTTTGATACCTGCATGTAATATGTAATCAAATAATTTAGTATTTAGGATACTCATCACCTTATTTATTGTTCTTTTGGGTTGGGAACATTTTAGATCTTCTAGCTATTTTGAAATATACATGATTATTAACCTGTTTTATCACTTGGTCTATTTGTCCTTTCCCTCTCTCCCTTTCTTTCCTTCTCTTCCCTTCTTTCACTTTCTCGTTATCAAACTGTCAACACTGGTGTCTTCAAGGGGCTGTGAAAGGACAAGGGAAAAGGGATGCTTGAGATTTTCCACTTGATTTGTTATAATAAATATATCTTTTTATTATAACTTTAAAAAGCAATAAAACAGAATAAAGTAATAAGGATAAATGTAATCATTTTGAACTTAATATATTTAATTTATACTAATAAAATAGCATTTTTATTTGTCCTTGTCAAATTGGTGAAGTTGGAAAACTTTTGGAATAGGGGAAATGGAATCAAACAGCTAAAATAGCCTGTTATATAGTAAGCATTGTGCTAAACTCTCTGACTTATCTTTTTATTAAATATTTACAGTAGCCTTTGAAATGTTATTTGAATTCCACAAGTGATTTTTAAATCTTTCTTGGTTTATAGAGGATTCCAGACAAGATATAACCATATTTAGGAAATTCGCCGATATTTAACGTGACAATAATGCTAGTAGGAAATTAAGTAATTAATCCATTTAAAATTAAAAATAGGCCAAGTGCAGTAGCTCATGCCTGTAATCCCAGCACTCTGGGAGGCTGAGGTTGGAAGATAGTTTTGAGACCAGCCTAGGAAACATAGCAAGATCTCATTTCTACCAAAAAGAAAGAAAAAAGCCATGCATGGTAGCATGTGCTTGTAGTCCCAGTTACTGCAGTGGCTGAGATAGGAAGATTCCTTGAGACTAGGAGTTCGAGGCTGCAGTTGGCTATGATAATGCCACTGAACTCCACTGCGAGTGACAGAGTGAGACCCTGTCTTGGAAAAAAAAATCAAAATAAATTTATTATTTAAAAAAGCATGGAATTGTGGGCAAGATTCTCTATCTCCATCAGTATAATTTTCTATAGAGTCCCTCTAGGAATCAGCCTAGATTAGAATGTCAGAAGAGGGCTCTTTCCTTTAGACTACTTCCTCCTGATTGTTTTCCCTTGTCCCCTAGCAGTATCACAGATCCAGGACAGATAGGAAGTTTGGATGAAGTATGGATGACAATGCAAGTTTCTAGCTTCCTGGAAGGTATCATGTCTCACTGACAAACACTGTCACTGATGTGCGTTCAAATATCAGTGTTTGAAAAAGTTAAAAAAAATGGGCTCTGGAGTGATATTTTGACTGCTATTTGCTGGCCCAGTATCCTTGGACAAGTTACTTTACTTGAGGCTTCTGCTTCCTCGTCTGTGAAATGGGAATGACACCACCTCACTGGTTGTCATGAGAATCATATTAGATAAGGAATGCCTGGGGGAAGAGTGCATAGAAACTGTGTGATAAATGATAGCTATTTTATTATTACTATTTTATCATTCATTCAACATTGATTACAGAGTTGTTTTTATTCCTGAACATAATTCACCTATTTCGTTATTGCTCTAGATCTCTTGGAATTTTTTGCTGTCACTGTCAAACATCTCTACATCTTTCCTTGTGCATGCTTTGAGGCTAGAGCACAAATTTCAGAAATGAGGGAGAATAGTGTAAACCTGGCCCTGCAGAATAATTATCTTAAACTCTTGAGTCTTTCTTAGGCAAGACTTTCTACAAATCTTACTTCTCAATGCTCGATTTCTTTTCTCTTGGCAGATAATCTTTTTATTGTAGTATAAGTGAGGATTTGACATGAGCCTCTGTACATCCCTTTCTGTCCATGCAAACTGTTGACTTGTCAATTTCTGTTTTGCCCTCTTTTCCCACTTAAAGGAGAGGAAGGTTATTATTTCTTACAAATTATTTGATAGTATCAGATGATATTCAGAATACAATAAAAATGCCTCACACTATTCACAATAGCGACTTGAAACCAACCCAATTGTCCATCAATGATAAACTGCATTAAGAAAATGTGGCAGATATACACCATGGAATACTATGCAGCCATAAAAAAGGATGAGTTCATGTCCTTTGCAGGGACATGGATGAGTCTGGAAACCATCATTCTAAGCAAACTATCACAAGGACAGAAAACCAAACATCACATCTTCTCACTCATAGGTAGGAGTTGAACAACAAGAACACGTGGACACAGGGTGGGGAACATCACACCCTGGGGCCTGTTGGGGGGTGGGGACCTGGGGGAGGGATACCATTAGGAGAAATACCTAATGTAAATCACGAGTTGTTGGGTGCAGCAAACCAACATGGCACGTGTATACCTATGTAACAAATCTGTACATTGTACACATGTACCCTAGAACTTAAAGTATAATAAAAACAAACAAAAAGCAACTCCCAGACAAAAATATAAATGCCTCAGCATTTTGCCAGAATCCTTTCTGCTTTTATGAACTCTTAACCATTCTGGGCTTCAGTCAGACGCAGTGTGCCCCAAACCTTCTTATAACTGATACTCTGCTTGGAACTCATTAATTATTCAGAATTCAGTGTTCCTGTCACTTCCTCCTTGAAGTCCTTCTTGATAGAGCAGATACTTTTCTCTTCTGGAAATCCACTGTATCTTGTATGTCTCTCTTTTCATAGTATTCATGGTATGTTGCAATAATCTGTTCTTCTTGGGGGACATGCTTCAGTCTAGGCCCAACTTGGATCTCAACTTTAACTAAAGGCCATCGTAAAAATAAATTCACTTGGCTGGGCGTGGTGGCTCACACCTGTAATCCCAGCACTTTGGGAGGCCTAAGTGGGTGGATTGCTTGAGATCAGGAGTTTGAGACCAGCCTGGACAACATGATGAAACTGCGTCTTTACTAGAATACAAAAATTAGCCAGGTGTGATGGCTGGTACCTGTAATCCCAGCTACTCGGGAGGCTGAGGCAGGGGAAATGCTTGAACTCAGAAGGCGGAGGTTGCAGTGAGCTGAGATCACACCAGTACATGCTAACCTGGGCAACAGAGCGAGATTCCGTGTCAAAATAAAAATAAAAAAGCCAGGTGCAGTGGCTTATGCCTGTAATACCAGCACTTTGGGAGGCAGAGGTGGGCAGATCGTGAAGTCAGGAGTTCGAGACCAGCAGGCCAACATGGTGAAAAAATAGAAAAATTAACTGGGCATGCTGGCGCACGCCTGTAATCCCAGCTATTCGGGAGGCTGAGGCAGAAGAATTGCTTGAATTGGGGAGGTGGAGGTTGCAGTGAGCCAAGATTGTGCCACTGCACTCCAGCCTGCACGACAGAGCAAGACTCTGAAAAAAGAAAAAAAGAAATTCACTAGTGCATAGATTTTTGGGAGACAGTATTTTTGAACAAGACTCATGTAGTGTATACTCCCTTTCTGGGATGTAAAATTTACACCCTTTAAAAGAACAAAGTAGCTACTATTCACTAACATAGATAACATCTGAGAAATGAATTTTAAGATGAGTGGTTTTTAAGATATGCTCAATAACTTCAGTTCCCATCTCTCTGTATTTTAGGTAATGGAACTGCTGGTGCATCTGAATAAACGTATAAAAAGCCGCCCCAAAATACAACTTCCAGTAGAGACACTGTTGGTTCAGTACCAGGACCCTGCTGCAGTTTCCTTTGTCACAGTGAGTGTTGTATTGGAATATTTTCTGACTCATAGCAAATTTTCTTCCCTAACATTTATCAGATGTCATCAACATATTGGCAAGCTTAAAATTTCACCTTAGACCACTTCTAAATGAAACATGAGATTTTTTTTTTTTTTAAATGACATACTGTTTTTCCACTGAGTACCAATCCAGAGGAAATGCTACTTTACAGTAGCAGGGTAATGAGTGGCTGTTTACATTGGGCAAAGGAATGTCGGTGAAATGACTTGTCAGGTATGTTGTTATATAAAATAATGATTTGATTTTTGGTAAGAGACTATATGAGATGGGTCTGAATGGAGGGAAATGTTATACGGCTTGGGCACAAATAAAGCATAATGGAGGAAAAAAATGAGTAAAATGGCAAAAAATAAAGTGAATTTTAAAAAATCTTTTGTGTTTTTGATGTGTATTCAGAAAGATAACTTTTTTATAAAGTGGAGTAAATCTGACTGGTAAGAAACATTCCTTTTAAAGTGTTGTCTTCATAAAAATTAAATGTAAAAAATGTTGGTGCTGTGTGATGGCAGGTGATGTTTTTTTCCTGGTCCTTGTAGTTCCTAGCATTGAGGCAGAATCGATTGAATCTTATCTAACCTCTGGAGTCACAAACCTTTTGGAGCCTGTTATTGGTCCAGACGTCATTTTGTCTGTGCCTGTTCTGGATATTTGGCTCAATTACACATTTCCTTTCTTTAAGCAAATAGGAACACTGTGTGCCAATAAAAATGCCAAATATAATTTATTTAAAGAAATAATCTTATGAAGCCCATTTACTTTAGTAAATAATTCTTCAGAGGCCAGGCACGTTGGCTCATGCCTATAATCCCAGCACTTTAGGAGGTTGAGGCGGGCTGATCATGAGGTCAGGAGTTCAAGACCAGCCTGGCCAACATAGTGAAACCCCATCTCTACTAAAAATACAAAAATTAGCCGGGCGTGGTGGCGCATGCTTGTAGTCCCAGCCACTTGGGAGGCTGAGGCAGGGGAATCACTTGAACCTCAGAGGTGGAGGTTGCAGTGAGCCAGGATTGCACCACTGCACTCCAGCCTGGGTGACAGAGCGAGACTCCATCTTGGGGGGAAAAAAAATAAAAAAGCTTCAGAAAAGCAATTCTTAATCTTATCTGTAAATCCAGATATCTGTTTATGGGTTTGCTTAAAATGCAGTATTCACACAGATTATAGTGATACCGGTTGAGTATCCCTTATCTGAAATGCTTGGGACCAAAAGTGTTTTGGATTTTGGAATAGTTGCATTATACTTACCTGATTTAGCATCCCAAATCCAAAATCTGAAATGCCGCAAGGAGCATTTCCTTTCTGTGTCTTGTTAGCACTCGTAAAATTTCAGATTTTGTAGCATTTTGAATTTCAGATTTTCAAATTTGGGATGCTCAGCCTTGCACAGACACACAGCACTCAGTTTCCTTTGGTTCATCCTGCATTGGTGAGTTACTGGAATGAGGAACCACAGAGTGCTGCAGTATACTAAGTTTGTTTTAGTCATTTGACCAGTGAGAAATGGCAGTCTAGGATTTGTCAACACCTCATCTCCTCCTAGCTTGTAAGGATTAATGCAACAGGCTGGGAGATCTGATGCTAATGTGTAGTGTGTAGGTGTAAATAGGTTGAATGATTATTTTTTTCTTCTCCACGATAAACTGCATATATTAATGCTTTAGATTAGTCCATGCTACCTCACATTTGACCTACTTTAAAGCAAGCATTTTGAATAAGTTGGACTGGAATTCTTCCTCTGAGATACAGTAGTTGGTAAAGGTGCAGTAAACATGTGGAGGGAGGATGAGTCACGTTTACAATGTCTTTGTTGTAACCATAACTCTCTAAGTTATCAATCATATATTTTCATTGAAATCATAGAGTATTTCCTTCACACTCACTTGCTTTTCTCTTATTGCATTAGAATTTTACTATAATTTATGTTAAAATGGGCTATCCTCGCCTACCAGTGGAAAAACAATGTGAACTGGCCCCTACGCTTCTTACTGCCATGGAAGGGAAGCCTCAGCCACAGCAGGATAGGTACGGTTTCCTCAATTATCTAATTTCCCTCCTACAGGAGTCAACAACTGCCTTTCAAATATTAGTTCACATGTTTGGTTTTACTTGAGCAAATGGGAGGTCTTGAGCTGTTTTAGCTGACAAATAATAGAATTTTCCATGGTACCTCAAAGTTACTGTTTCGTTAATACTATCATAAAATTTCTTGATGTGAACATTGAAAAATGTGCAGAACTAACAACATTTATCTAAGTCTGTGCATTTTTTTGGCTAGTTATCTTGAAGCAGTTAATTTTATGTGATTGCAAAAATTAGAATTAAAAATCCTTTGCATCAAAACATTTCTATATTGGAAGATGTAAAGTTTCACAGTGGTTTTCTTAAGGAACAGAGCACTCGTTTGTATTGTTTTGGGAACTGGAGAGGTGAAAAGGGTTTTGGATAACATCATTTGTTTCTAGGCTTAGGCAAAAGTTCTTTGTTGTAGCCCTGTCATAGTGAGAATCATGATGAAGAGTGCAGAAGTATAGAGGAAAGATGGAGTGAAATCATATTTTCAGTTCACCTTTTAGAGCATATTCATTTTTAAAGAAATGCTGTAATACAGAAGAAGTTTACAAGTAAAATTAATAGACATTATAAGCGCTGTGAAATTGTTTTCGGATGTTTTAAGAATATCAAAAGATGTTAGTGAAAGGAATTACTGAGGCCTGTTACTTAAATTCATGCAGTGGAAATTTTAATATTGTATTCAAAATATTAATACGATTGATTTTTAATTTTTAGAATAACTTTAGTTGTGGAAAATATATATATATATATTTTGAGATGAAATCTCACTGTGTCGCCCAGGCTGGAGTGCAATGATGCAATCTTGGCTCACTGCAACCTCTGCCTCCCGAGTTGAAGTGATTCTCCTGCCTCAATCTCCTGAGTAACTGGGATTACAGCTGCCTGCCACCATGGCCAGCAAACTTTTTGTATTTTTAGAAGAGATGGGGTTTTACCATGTTGGCCAGGCTGGTCACGAACTCCTGACCTTAGATGATCTGCCCACCTTGGCTTCCCAGAGTGCTGCGGTTACAGGCATGAGCCACTGTGCCTGACTGAAAATAATTCTTTATTTTTATTTATTTATTTATTTATTGAGATGGAGTCTTGCGCTGTCGCCCAGGCAGTGTCGTGATCTTGACTCACTGCAAGCTCCGCCTCCTGGGTTCACACCGTTCTCCTGCCTCAGCCTCCTGAGTAGCTGGGACTACAGGCGCCCGCCACTGGGCCCGGCTGATTTTTTTGTATTTTTAGTAGAGGCAGGGTTTCACCGTGGTCTCTATCTCCTAACCTTGTGATCTGCCCGCCTCGGCTTCCCAAAGTGCTGAGATTACAGGCAAGAGCCACTGTGCCTGGCCTGGAAAATAATTCTTTTTGAAAAGACAAATTGTAAGTTGAACTTTACTTAAGATTTCATATAAAATCTCTTGTGGAAACTTCAGATATTAACATTGAGCCCATTTTATGTATTTTTTTCGGATAATTTTAGTGATGAGCCAGATTGGCTAAATGCTAATCATCACTCAATATACTGAACTTTCAATAAAAAAGAATTCTAGGCCAGTCCCTACATCAGGACTTTGTAAATTAGTGGTGTTGAAAAGGAACGTCTCTTGCTTAAAACTGCTAGTTTTTGTTATGTGATTTTTGTTTTGTCTGTGTTTTGCATGTATAAAAATCTCATTTTTTAAGTGGTTGCAATAAATGTAATTGTTTTTTCAGCTTAATGCATCTTTTAATACCAACCCTTTTTCACATGAAATACCCTGTTGAATCATCAAAATCAGCTTCTCCGTTTAATCTTGCTGAGAAACCAAAGACTGTGCAGCTGCTTTTGGACTTCATGCTAGATGTCCTTCTGATGCCTTATGGGTGAGTTAAAAAATAAAAACAAAGCAGTCTTGTTCTTGACTGCTTTTACTATGTGGAATTAAATACTATTTTAAATGATTCAACTCTCACTAGTAAATGAATGCATCTCAACATCATTTATGTTTATAGAGATTTTTTTCTTCTAAACCTCTTCTAAACTTCAGCTCCACTGCTTATTGGCCTTACAAATGCTGAGTTGCTGTTACGATTTTTAGACTCTACTTGCCTAAGGTGAAATCAGTCTTTCCCCATAAAAATAGTTCCTCTTAGGCCAAGGTGGGAGGATCACTGGGAGCTAGGAGTTTCAGACTAGCCTGGGTAACAGAGCAAGACTCTCTCAAAAAAAAAAAAAAAGTTTCTCTTTTAAATTTGCTATCAGTGCTATGATGGTTCTCTTTGCCACCTAGCCATACAATGATAAATTGTCTCCAGCTTTTCTCTTCTTTGTTGCTGCAATATCAGTTGCATACTGCCTCCTTCCTTCTCCTTGCTGTGTCTGGAACCCTTCCCACTGCTATTGTCTAGTTTTACCTCTTTTCAACTCTTGTCATAATTTCTTTCCCAGCGGCTCCACTTCTTCAAATCTCTCTATACCACCTCTCTGTGCTTTACCGGATTTTCAAAACACAGATCTCATCAGGCAACACCTTAAAATCCTTGGTTTCTCATATCCTGTCATTATGCATTTCATGCACTCTTATGTGTCCTTGCTGTTTATTTTTAAGAGAATGCCTTTCTGTCCACCTAGAATGCTTCTTCAAGAAAAGAAAGAAAGAAAACAACAGAAAGACACTTCGAAAAACAGCATCCTGGCCAGGTGCAGTGGCTCACACCTGTAATCTCAGCACTTTGGGAGGCCGAGGCAGAACAGATCCCTTGAGCCCAGAAGTTTGAGACCAGCCTAGGCAAAATGGCAAAACCCTATTTCTACAAAAAAATACAAAAATTAGTCAGGCCCCATGGCATGCACCTGTAGTCCCAGTTACTTGGGAGGCTGAGGCTGGAGTTTTGATTGAGCCTGGGAGGTTGAGGCTGTAGTGAGCTGTGATCATGCCACTGCACTCCAACCTGGTGACAGAACAATACCCTGTCTCAAAAACAAAAAAAAGAAAAAAACATCCTAAATTGGCCTAAATGTCAACTCCGTTTCTCTCTGACAAATTTCTTCTCCTAGGCAGATATAATTGCACTATTTTCTGTGTCATTAAAACACGAAATACCTGCCTATATGGCCACTGTGTGTTTTTGCCACATTGTAGACATTTCCATCTCCCCTAGTAGATGGTGAGCCCCTTGTAGTCATGTAGCTTTGGTCTCTGGCATAGAGCCCGGATTGTGATCTACTTCTAGTCTACTTACTTTGTCCCTCTGCCAGATAAATTTTTCTAAAATGCTGGTTGCATCTTGTTTCTTTCCTGATCACAAAATTACGTGTACATGATAAGCTAGGCATGTGGAGCTCTGTATCATTTGTTTCTCAATCCAGGAACGAGAGTTCATGCGGTGTGATGAACAAATTTGTTCTCCTCCTGCCCCTCTTGTTTGGAAGCCCAATTTTCTGGGCCTTCAGTCACTCCATGTTCACTCTCACCACCTGTTATATCATTTCTTATTTCTCAGCAGTTTCTTTGCTTCTGATAAAATGGCAGATGCTATTACATGTGTTAGGTTGTTACTGTCTCAGCTTACTCCAGATGGCAGAGACTCGATGTTACATCTCCTTATATTCCTCTGTCTTGTGTTTAGGATGATGTTTGTTTGTTTGTATGTTTGTTTGAGACAGGGTCTCACTCTGTCACCCAGGCTGGTGTGCAGTGGTAACTCAATGCAGCCTTGACCTCCTGGGTTCAAGCAATCCTCTCACCTCAGCCTTCTGGGTAGCTGGGACTACAGGTGCGCGCCACCATGCCCAGCTAATTTTTTTGTATTTTTTGTAGAGATAGGGGGTCACCATGTTGCCCAGGCTGGTTTCAAACTCCTGGGCTCAAGCGATCCTCCCACCTTGGCTTCCCGAATTATAGGCCTGGACCTATATTGGGCCAGGGGATTATAGGCCTGAGCCACCACACCCAGCCTTAGGATGTTTTATGCAGTATTAAGATGTATTAACTTATTGATTGATTTACTTAATGCCACCAGTCTTGCTACAACTTAGAAATAAAAAAACTTCCTTTTATATTTGTTAAATCAGGAGGCAGCCAGAATGACAGGTGATGATGGCTTTGGTAGATAAACCTTGAAATTCAGATTTACCTTAGGAACATGATGTAACCAATTAGCCAGTGATTCCTCACATTTTTCTTATTAATGAGAACTTGGGTCATTTATATAATAACATTAAAGCGATTCCTTAGGAGATTTTTAAAAAATAGATAAATTTAGGAATTGAATGAATATGACATGTAAGTAATGTGGAATAATTTACTGTCCTATCAGGTTCTAAGTGTTTTCTTGAACTTTTATTATAGTGGATATTTTATTATAATATCCAATATGATAATGGAATTTAATAGCATAGATCTTTAGTTTTAAGAGATTTGAATTAATATTTATATCAAAAACTTCATTTTGTAGATGAGTAATATCAGTTTAATTGGATCAAAATGAATTTCTTGGAGATCTTATTTCTCTACCCTAGAAGCTTAAATGAAATAGGGATGATAAATTAACCAGGTGGTGCAAAGGGCTTTGAACATGTAATGGGAAAAGTCAGTTCTTGTGTAACTTTTCTTCTTTGGGCCCTTTTGAGTTTTTTCATTTTGGGGACTTTGTGTCTTAGGTGGTACGCCATTTGGAGGTTTCAGTGGGTTTTCTAATGTAGGGATAAAGACCTCAGTTCAGGGAGGATTGAAGGTGAATTACAGCTTCATAGAAATGAGAATGACTGTAAAAATACTCTGGGTATAGTACAATAGCTCCTCCCAGTCCCCTTTGTCAACAAACTTTTCTCCATATTTGGCAGCTCAAAACTCAGAATGTGGTGATTCTGGAGTAGCTATTGGAGCAATCATTTATAGATGGAGAATGATCAAAATATTTATATTCATTGTTGGTAACAGTTGTAGTTCATTTGTAACCAAGTTAAATGACATGCTCTTCTGGTTAGTTGGCTGAAGATACACCTTTTCTAGATACCTTAAAATATTTTTATGATGAAATTTTAATTTCAAGTGTTCATTCTTCTAGTAAAATACAGTAGGAGGACAGTATATGATTGAATGTTTTGTATACATATATAGATGTAAATGCTTGTGTTTTTATAGAGGGTTAAAGTGTTATTTCCTTTCCAGTTACGTGTTAAATGAATCCCAGAGTCGCCAAAATTCATCTTCAGCACAGGGTTCTTCTTCAAACAGTGGAGGAGGTTCTGGAATTCCACAGCCTCCTCCGGGAATGAGCTTTTATGCAGCTAAACGAGTTATTGGTGATAACCCATGGACACCTGAACAATTGGAACAGGTATCACACACTGTTTGCTCATAATAGTACTGGATTGTGGACATTTGCCCCTATGAAGTTCATGAACCATATAAAACATAGTTCTAGTATATTCAGGCTCTCCAATGAAATATGTTTGAAAGGAGCAGTTGATGTAATGTGTTCTGTTCATGCTAGTTATTTATTAAGCCCTAGGGACAGGGAGGAGTGGGACATGCTGTTTAGTTTTTCTAATATTGCTTACATATTTCAAGTATAAAACACAACTCACTTATAAATTGAATATGTTTAACTTTTGTCATTTAAAAATTTTTTTTAACTTTTGTCATTTTAATTCTTAAATTGTAGGTTAAATTATCTAGCTTTTATGGTGCAGTTAAAATACAATTTTTCTTACATTATTCAACTTTTAAGGGCTGTACATTTTATGTAAAGTGAGGAGCCCCAGCACTTCACAGGTGACAATGTGGGGAAAAGCATGACTCCCTGTTATATTACTTCTTGGGAATTTAAAAATTGGCATTAAGAATTTTATTCTGGATTTAAACAGGACACAGATGTTCTCTGAGCAGCTTTTAAAAATGACTGGTGCTCTACAGAGAAGGTGCCTCACTGTGTCTGTGTCATCAGGCACTTCAGGGAAGAACAGATGAGATCAGTATGTAATTATTTTGGAATTCAAGCAACATGGGTTAGTCTTCTGATCCTTCCTTTATTTCTCCATGGCAGTCTAAATGATTTGATCCTTTTTTTGGGGGGAATGTAAGTGACCATTGATTAAAACAGTGTTCCTAGGAGAGGGAAAAAGAGGCAATTGGGGCATTCTTGGCATTCACAAATTTATAGAATGTTGTATTCAGTAAGGGGTATAATTGATTTGATCTCCTTCATGCTTTATGGATTTTTTTTTTCCTCCTTAAACTATTATGTAAGTAAGAAAGGTAAAGAATTAACAGAAGCTACTCTTTATTGAGTGCAATCTATGTGACAGGCACTGTACTGGGTACTTTGAATACAATATCTCATTCCACTGTCATAGCAACCCAGTGAAGTATAGAAATTGTTAGTTCCATTTTCTGAAAGGCGTGGAGGTTTTGAGATTTACCAGGGTCTCACTTTTAGTACCAGGCTTTGAATCTGGGATTATCTGAGGGTTAAAGCTACAAATGCTGGAGAAAAATTGTTATAGTTCAATTATAATCTTAAATTGGTCATTTTTTGCCAATACGCGTCTGTATGTATTTTGTCAGTTTCATGCTGAAACGAACAGTTTAGTTTCAGGGGTGAAAGCTGTTTCCTCTAATTTTAAAATATCTCTTTGTTTTATACTTTTTCTTCCAAGTAAAACATGTTTTTGCTAATTATAAACCTAATGTAAATATTCAAGTAATTAAGAATAGTAGAGAAATTAAAAATTAAGGGGCTGGATGCATTGGCTCATGCCTGTAATGCCAGCCCTTTGGGAGGCTGAGGCGAGTGAATTGCTTGAGGCCAGGAGTTCGAGACCAGCCTGAGCAACAGAGTGAGACCCTGTCTCTATTAAAAATACAAAAATTAGCTGGGCATGGTGGTACCCGCCTGTAACCCTAGCTACGTGGGAAGCTGAGGCATGAAAATCACTTGAACCCAGGAGGTGGGGGTTGCTGTGAGCTGAGATCGTGCCACTGCATTCCAGGCTGGGCAATAGAGCAAGTCTCTGAGTAAAAATAAATAAATAAAAAAGGCCAGGTGCGGTGGCTCATGCCTGTAAACCCAGCACTTTGGGAGGCCATGTTGGGCAGATCGCTTGAGGTCAGGAGTTCGAGGCCAGCCTGGCCAACATGGCAAAACCCCATCTCTACTAAGAAAACAAAACAAAAACAAAAGTTAGCCAGGCATGGTGGTGTGTGCCTGTAGTCCCAGCTGCTGGGGAGGTTGAGGCACGAGAATTGCTTGAACCCAGAGGCAGAGGTTGCAGTGAGCCAAGATTGCGCCACTGCACTCCAGCGTGGGCGACAGAGCAAGACTCTGTCTCAAAAAAAAAAAAGTTACCTGGAATCCTGTCACACTAGTTTGTCATCTGTCTACAGTTTGCTCTGTGCATGTGTGTATGTGTTCACAGTTTTAAACAATATATTTCTACTTGTCATGTAATACATTGTTTGTAGTTTGCTTTTTATATTGAACAGTATTTTGGATTTTTAAAAAAGTAATTCTTTTGAATGTTTGCATACAATTATATGTGATATTATTTAACCAGTCTCCTATTGATGGACATCTGTATAATTTTCCGTTTTCTTTACGTATTTTTTGTTTAGTTTATATCTTTGTGTACTTGACTTCCATAAGTGTCTTTTTTATGGCTGTACAAATGTTTGAATCTTTTCTGTTGTAGCTGTTGTTAAAAGTAAGTTGTGTTGAGCGGAGGAGGGAAGGCAGGTCCTTTTTTGATCTGTTATACTTTTTTAAATTGCGTTTTTTTCTCATTTAATAATTGTAAAACTTCATTAATCCTAGTATATGTGAAAACTGTTATGTGACGATTTTTTAAGATGAAAATGAAATTTTATTTTTTCAGGTATATTATCCTGAATACAGTCATTTGTAGTGAAATTCATAGCATCTTTACATTGCATGAAGTTCTAAGCAGAATCTCTCTTTAGTCTGTTTCATTTCAGCCAGTCAATTAAATTGAAAACTGTTTGATTAGAATTTCACTTGTATTGAGTAGCTAACATTTGAAATCATATCCTTTGTATGTTAGCAATAGAGTGAAACTCCATGGAATGTGAGTTGTTTAGTTCTTTTTGAACTGTCAGGAAAATCCATGGGGCACTTTATTCCTGGTGTACCACTGTCTTATCTGGAGGCCCCAAATTTGGACTTCAAGACTTCATCACTCTAGAGAGGCTGTGTAACTTCACTAGGGTGGCTGTGTATCATAATAATTTTGGAGTCAGAGAGACTTGGGTTTGAATCCTGCCTTCATTGTTTACCAGTGTCTTAAAGCCTTGCCTCAGTATTTTTAGCTAAAAAATGGGTATAATGATTGATTTATTAGATTGTGAGGATTAAGTGAAATTATGAATATATGTGCTTTAGTATAGTCCCTGGCACATTGTAAGCCCAAGTAAGAGCTGCTACTGTTGTTACTGCTCATCTTTGGTTTGTGACCACACTGATATGTTAAGCAGTACTTTGAGTGGGTGTCCTTTGCTCCCCTGACCGTTCTTTCTCCTTGCCTTCATTTGTCTACAGTGCAAATTGGGAATCGTGAAATTCATAGAAGCTGAACAGGTGCCTGAACTCGAGGCTGTTCTCCATTTGGTGATTGCTTCTAGCGACACACGCCACAGTGTGGCAACGGCAGCAGACCTGGAGTTGAAAAGCAAACAGAGGTAACTACTTCTCTGTAAGCTTTCAAGATTGAAAGGGCTAGGTTTCTCAAAGCTTACTTGCCACATGTATGTGTGTGTATATATATATATATATATATATATATATATATATTTTAGGATTTTATGTAATGAGGCATTCAACTTAGAGGAGATGATTAAATATACCCAGTTTGTAATAAAGTTTGCTAAAGAGTTGAATTCTGTGTAAGACAGAGAAGAAAATCTGTGTGGAGATGCTGTTTATAGCTGGACTAGGTTAGAAGTGTCATCACAATCAGTGAGACTTTTGGCTAGGTAGATGAACTTAAAGAATTGATGTTAAGAAAAGTGTCAGTTCAAGAAGTTACTAATTTTTGTTTTTTTCTCTGTCTCAAACCATTTGAGATTACTTTTAATAAAGCCTTTGTATGTATTATGGTTAATACAGTGAAAATTACATTCATGAAAAGAGTTGCTGAATAGATTCTAATTCACACATGAGGAGATACAGATAGCAAGTAGACTTACAGAAAATATTCTGTATAAGAAATAAAGTCAATGAAAAATAAATGAATGGGATACCAGTAGCACTGGATAAACCCATGTACGTTTCTTCTATTGAAACTGCTATTTTTATTTTTATTTATATATTTATTTTTTGAGACAGAGTCTTTCTCTGTTTCCAGGCAGGAGTACAGTGGCACGATCTCAGCTCACTGCAGCCTCCGCCTCCCAGGTTCAAGTGATTCTCATGCCTCAGCCTCCCAGGTAGCTGGGACTACAGGTGTTGGCCACCACACTTACCTAATTTTTGTATTTTTAGTAGAAACGGTGTATCACCATGTTGCCCAGGCTGCTCTTGAACTCCTAAGCTCAGGTGATCCATGTGGCTCGGCCTCTCAAAGTGCTGGGATTACAGGCGTGAGCCACCACTCCCGGCCAAAACTGCTTATTTTATACCCTGTTGATTGGCATTATAAATTGAAATGAAGTTTTGGAAAGCAGTTTGCAATAAGTAATGAATCATAAAGATATTTCTATCCTTTTATCTCAGTCTTTTGGGAATTTGTCCTAAGGAAATTATTCGAAAGGAAGAGATTTAGAAAAATTTTATAGATTTGTTCATTATATCATTTTCTATCATTGTTAAAATATGAAAACAAATTCAGTTTTCCATAATGGGCATATAGTTAAGTAAATTACTGTATGTATCTTTATGGAATATTATATATTTGCCAAAATATGAATGAAATTAATTACTACTAAGTTTTTAGTTTCTTTTACTAAAGTGTTTGTTTTGTCTGAAATCTCTAAACCACAAGTGTTATGAAAGAAAAGCAATGGCAGAGCTTGAGGATTAGTTAGTAGGAATCTGCTTAGGAAAGATGTAGGTGATTCATATCCAAAACAGAATTGTAGAATGCCTCTGAGGATAGCGGGATTGTGGCTATTCTAAGAAGCATATTGATAAACTATGAAAGAAAGATAAATCTGAAAAGCAGTCAAAACAGGTTCATATGTTTGCACAAACACAGGATAGCTTGAAAGCAGAACCAGTGTCAAAGGGCAGAGAGAATATAGTATGGTAAACCAGTCAGATGGAAGGAAGGGTTGCATTATTGCTAGGTTTATGAAATGATTGGGTGGGATCTGCTGCAGAGGGTGGGAGCGAATCACCAATCATTTTTTTTTTTTTTTTTGAGATGGAGTCTTGCTCTGTCATGCAGGATGGAGTGTAGTGGTGCAGTCTCGGCTCACTGCAGTCTACACCTCTCAGATTCAAGTGATTCTCCTGCCTCAGCCTCCCAAGTAGCTGGGGTTACAGTAGCAGTGGATAAACTCATTTATGTTTCTATTGAAACTGCTATTTTTATTTCTATATTTTATATATATAAAAAATAGACCGCACCACCATGCCTGGCTAATTTTTGTATTTTTAGTAGAGACGGGGTTTCACCATGTTGGCCAGGCTGGTCTTGAACGCCTGACCTCAGTTGATCCACCCGCCTCGGCCTCCCAAAGTGCTGGGATTACAGGTGTGAGCCACCGTGCCCAGCCTTCACCGATCATCTTATATCTGAGTTCATCTTATTGTGGGGCCCAAACAGAATTAAGTCTTAGTGACTAATAGCAGCATAACTACTCTGCAGAATTAAAACTGCAAGTGTGTACTGGTAGATAAGGAGGGGGATGCTGGGAATCACAGTGACATAACATTAGAGAAATAAAGTGGCTTGCAAGCTTCCTAGGTGTGGCTTTAATTTCATGGGTACAAATTTTTTTGTCAGTTTCCTTATCACTTTTGAATTGCCAAATGGTTAAACAGACAAATCCTACCCTGCCCCAGGCCTCTTTGAACGAGTGTAGTAAAGCTCTGCTCTGTTGGAGTTGCTCCATGCCATTGGCCCTGTGAACCCATCTGTGTAGGAACAGTGTCCGTTTTTCTTGTGGTACCAAATTGTGCCATTGGATACAATAATCCGTTGAGTCAGGGTGGGTTAAGTGATTTGTGTTTGTTTTGGTTTAAAAACAAACTTTAATAGAAATTAGTACCTTTCTTTTCCTTCTCTTCTACAATGTCAATTGCCCATTTCATTTGTGTATTTCTAACGTTTTCTTTTGTTAAGAAATGATGGGGCTATAATTTTTTTGAAATCACTGAAGGAGGAGGAAAAAATAATTTTAACAACCTGTGTTGAAACCTTCCATAGCTTAATTGACTGGAATAATCCTGCCATCATTAATAAGATGTACAAGGTGTACCTTGGAGATATACCACTGAAGACAAAAGAGGTAGGCTGTTTTGATTTATTCTTACATCAGCTTAAAAAGTAGTTTGTTGACATGAACTGTGTATTTATATATTTTCTTCTAGTTTCATTTAAGCTGAATCTGTACCATAACAAAACGATAGTTTTAAGTCATGCTAGTTTAGATGAATTAAAACCTGGTAACTTAGTTTACTGGATGTGGCGTTATAAATTCAGATTCCTAAATAACAATGACAAACTGTCTAGAGTAGGGATTGACAGATTTTTTCTGTAAAATTTGTAGGCTTTGCAGGCCTTATGGTCTCTCAGGTTGCAGCTGCTCAACTCTTGTAACGTGAAAGCAGCCATAGGCAATACATAACCGAATGAGCATGGTTGTGTGCCAGTAAAATTTTGTGGATACTGATGTTTGAATTTCATGTAGTTTTCATGTATTACAAAATATTATTCCTTTGATATTTTTTAACCATTAAAACATGTAAAATTGATGTTTAACTCATAGACCTTATCAAAATAAATGGTGAGCCAGATTCGGACTATGGGCTGTAGTTTGCAGACTTCTGGTCTAGAATCTAGAACAAAAGATGGGTTCTCCTAAAGCCTCAAAGTAAGACCTTTGCCTTAATAAGATGAGTTCTTTTTAGTTCACTGTGTTTAAAAGTATTCCAAGTCCAAACCCAGACATACAAGGATTATTTGTTTGCATGCTTGCATTCTTGCCCTTTTTTGTTTGAAATGGGGTCTTGCTATGTTGCCTAGGCTGGACTTGAACTTCTGGGCTTAAGCTGTGTTCCTGCCTCAGTCTCTTGAGTAGCTGAATGAATGAGAATCAGGACCTCTGAATTCTAGCCCCAAATGGCTGTACACATGAATGTGTTGGGGAGGAAAGGTTTGGCTGATCACATAACCTTTCCTGGCCTCATGTTCTTCATGTAGAAAATGAAGGGGTTGGATTAGATTAGTGGTTCTCGGAGTGTGTTCCATGGACCTTTTAAGGGTCACAAAAAACCTTTTAGGTGATCTGTGAAGGCCTTTTCTTTTTGTACCGTGTCAGTATTTGCACTCATGGTACAAAAGCCATGGTGAGCGTACTTGCTCGGTTCCTACCACACATCAAAACCATGTCACCAGATGACTAACAGTCATTCTTTTCTTCAGTGTTATGTACTCATTTAAAAAAAAAAGAGAGAATAAAACTCAGCTTTACTTAAGAACATTCTTGATGAAGCAGTAAAAATGACTTTACTTGAAGAGTAGACAGGCAAATTACAGCTACTGAGATGGGTGTTTGGCACATATTTTCTCTAAAAGGAAAAAAATGAGGTTGTTACTTCAAGAAAAACAACATGATTTATTGGCAATAATAAAAGTTAGCTTTCAAGCAAAAATTAGAATTTTGAGAAACTTGTGTTCACCACAGTGATTTGATAGCTTATCAGTACTTAGTGGATTTTTCTGATGTGATTAGAACACAGGTGATATGAGCACAGGCTTTGTAAAAAAATGTTGTATGAAGAAACATTTGCTTAACTCAGTGAGCCAGTATTTTGCAAATGAGGAATGATGTTACAAAAGCATATAAGGGCAAGGGAGCCATTCAGAGTAAGATAATCAGTGGAATATAGTATAAGAGTATATAAGTTCATTGATATGATTTCAACTCCAAATTGCAACTAATCTTTTTTCTTTTCATTTTTAAAAAATAAGCAATTAACTGTTAAGAAATTATTATTTGTCAAGTTTTGGTGTAGTATCAAAAAAGAATATCCACAATTACCTAAGAAGGCTAAAATCATCTTCACTTTTCCAACCACACATATCTGTGCAGGTTAGGTTTTTGTTACTTACTTCAACCAAAACAGTGTATTATAGCAGATTGAATACAGAAGAATATATAAAAATTCATTTCTCTTGTAGTAAGGTGAACATAGAAGTGATTTGTAGACAATGTAAAATAGTGCTTCTCCCTCAGTACAATTATTTTTGCTTTGGAAAGTAGTTATTTTTTATAACAAATATTAGTTTTGAAATAATGAGTTTATTAATAATTCTCAGTTAACAAATATGTTAATTTCTCAGTTTTAATTTCCAATTAATAAATATTGATAGGTTACACAGATATAAACAGAAGCTCTTTGGAGAGTTCAGTAATTTTTAAAGGGATCTTGAAGCAAAGTTTGAGAGACCACTGATTTAGATGAATTCTCATGACATTTTCAGTTCAAAATAATTTTGAATTTCTAAGTTAAAACCAAGCATATTTTCAACAGGGTGCAGTTCTGAAGCCAGAGTTGAAAAGGGACCCTGTGAGTACGAGAGTCAAGTTAAAGATTGTCCCCCATCTCCTCCGCTCTAGACAAGCTGCTGAAACGTTCCCAGCCAACATTCAGGTAATTTATTTTTTCCAGAGAATATTGGCCTGTCTGCAACTTTTATGTCTGTTTAATTAGAGAAAGAACTGTGTTAATGGATATTCAGTGGGTAGGTTGATGTATATAACAAGATTAATGAGATTCTTTTTTTTTCTGTCTTAAATTTGCTGCAGTATGATTTTTAAAAATTATCAGAAAATATATATAGGTTTGAGCATCTCTAATTAGAAAATCTGAAATCCTAAATGCTCCAAAGTCCAAAACTTTTTGAGTACTGATGTGATGCTCCGAGTGCAAAATTCCATACCTGGTCTTGTGTGATGGATTGCATTAAAACAGTCAAAACTTTACTTCATGCACAAAATTATTTAAAATATTATATAAATTACCTTCAGGCTATGTGCATGAGGTGTATAGAAAATGTCAGTGACTTTCATCTTTAAATTTGGGTCTCATCCCCAGGATATCTCATTATGTATGTACACATATTCCAAAATCTGAAAAAATCTGAAATCTCAAAACACTTCTGATCCTAAGCATTTCCAGTAAGGAACACTTAGTCTATACTATATATGGCTTCCATTTATCTTAAATATATGGTAATAATCCCTTTCAAACAAGATTTTTTTTAATGTGTGGCTTCTCTCCAAAAATGGTATCATTAGCAACTTAGTCACTTAAGTGAAAAAGCTGAGTCATCCTTAACTGAAAGCTCACTTGAAGGCAGTGGCCAAATGCTCTTGATTTCATCTTCTTAATGTCTTCACTTCTCTACACCTATAACGGTGATATTAGTTCAAACTATTACTTCCTGTTTTGGTTACTGCAGTATTCTTTTAACTTATTTTCCTGCCTCTAGTCTTGGCTCACATCCAGTCTGTTTTCTTTTTCTTTGCTTGGTTTTTTTTTTTTTTGAGACAGGGTCTCACTGTGTTGCTGAGGCTGGAGTGCAGTGGCACAATCTTGTCTCACTCAGCCTCTGCCTCCCAGGCTCAAGTGATCCTTACACCTCAGCCTCCTGAGTAGCTAAAAAAAAAAAAAAAAAAAAAAAAGTCTGTTTCAAATAATGTAGCACTTGATTATATTTTGTCCTATATCTTTTTGTCTTTTTTTCTTGGAGACTTACTGTGGAGACTTTTTGTGGTTTTTTTGGAGTCTTGCTGTGCCACCCAGACTGGAGTGCAGTGGCATGATCTCGGCTTACTGCAGCCTCTGCCTCCCAGGCTCAAGTGATTCTCCCCTCTCAGGGCCTCCCAAGTAGCTAGGACTACAGGCATGTGCCACCACACCTGGCTAAGTTTTGAATTTTTTTTTGTAGAGATGGAGTTTCACTGTGTTGCCCAGGCTGGTCTAGAACTCCTGGGCTCAGTGATCTTCCTGCCTTGGCCTCCCAAAGTGCTGGGATTTTTTTTTTTTTGAAGTGAGACAGGATCTTGCTATGTTGCCCAGACTGGCCTTGAACGCTTGGGCTCAAGTGATCCGCCCGTCCCAGCCTCCCTAGTAGCTGGGACTATAGGTGTGAGCCACCATGCCTGGCTCTGTATCATTTTAATGTATGTATCTCTTAACTCTTGAACAAGATTGAGTGCTTGTTCTTTTTTATATCTCTTAGTACCTAACACAGTGGCAATTAAAAAGCAGATAATACTAGTCTGTAACTCACATGTTATTGTTAAATAAGATCAGAATACTGCTGGCAGTTTTAGGAACAAGAGTAGAGGGTTTTTTTTTTTTTTTTTTTTTTTAGTGTAAGTAAGCTTTGTCATAAAAAGGAACTTCAGGGATTTAGATATTTTTGATGTTGATGGTTAATATTGAACTTGCTGCATGCTGCACAGGACTCATCTACATGATGTTTTTGCCTTCTAGATGTGGTTTCCTAATACTTGAAGCACCTTTACTCCAATGGGACACTTATAGAATATTTCCATGTGTATGTTTTCCCTGAAGCTTTTATTAGAATTTGTCCTGAATCATATAATTAAGAAACATAGGGAATAGCTGAGTGGTGACCCACTGCAGCGTGTACTTTTCGTTTCCTCACCGTGGTAGACCCATAAGCTTTGCAGACTTGTGAGATCAACCGCTGTGTTTGTTACTCCACAGACTATTTATAGGAGCTTCTGATTGACTTTCTAAGTCGGTCAGCTAACAATGTTTATCTGCATTAACGTTGAAGAACGAGATGTAGTATGAAAGGTCTGCTGTTGAATTCTGATTACTATTCAAAAATATTAAATTCTTATTTTTGTTAATTGATGTTCTCAACTCTTCCTTTCACATAGGTGGTGTATGATGGACTCTTTGGTACAAATACAAATTCAAAGTTAAGAACGTTATCCCTGCAATTTGTGCATCATATTTGTATAACGTAAGTTTTAACTACTTTATAAAGTTTTCAAGCTGCTGGAATGATTGAATGCTTCAAGTATGCTTCAAGTATATCTTTTTATTCATCTTACCTAGAAAGAAATCACGTTTGCTCATCTTTAAATATTTTTGTATTTTAATAGGTTAACTTATTTCGGTTATGTCTCTCATTATTTTATGTAATCATCAGTAAAGATATGTAGTTATGTGATTCTTATCTTGCTTTGTGTATGTGTGTTTTATTTAAAGCTGTCCAGAAATCAAGATTAAGCCATTAGGTCCAATGCTTTTGAATGGCCTCACCAAGCTAATCAATGAATACAAAGAGGTAAGTGACTTGTCTTTTAAATTTTTATCAACATTTTATATCTTAAAATATTTTCTGTAATCTTTCTGGTCTGTCAATGTAGTTGAAGTTTGTTAAAGTTTCATTGTTTCTTAACATTTTTACTTGAAGTACTACAAATTTCAGAAATTACTGCCCTTTTTTGCTTTTTTGGGGGAAAATAACTATTAAAAACTGATATGAGGTGTTACTGTATCTTTTTGTTTGTTTGTTTGCTTTGAGATGGAGTTTCGCTCTTGTTGCCCAGGCTGGAGTGCAATGGCACGATCTTTGCTCACTGCAACCTCCAGCTCCTGGTTCAAGTGATTCTCCTGCCTCAGCCTCCTGAGTAGTTGGGATTACAGGCACCTGCCACCACCACACCCAGCTAATTTTTTGTATTTTTAGTAGAGATGGGGTTTTACCATGTTGGCCAGGCTGGTCTTGAATTCTTGACCTCAGGTGATCTGCCTGCCTCAGCCTCCCAAAGTGCTGGGATTACAGGCATGAGCCACTGCGCCGGTCTGCTGTATCTTTAAATAGCATTTTTTCAGCCAGCGCCTTTTGTGCTACTTCTAGCTATTATGCAAAAATGGAATTAAAGGAATTGAAATTTATGTTCATTTCCATATGGGGCTATTTGGATTTGGCTTGTGTTGGGAAACTGTTAATTCTCAGGGGCTAAGATACTTTTTTTCTCTTATATTTTTTTGTGGTAAATAATGGGGCTGAGATTTTGATGATTCAAAATTCTGTCAAAACATGCATTCAGTAAATTTTTGATTCCTTAAGCTAAATGGGATGAGGATTCCTTCGATTGTGGATTTTTGAATCCCATTTTTCCCTGCTGTATTTCTGTTACTATAATATCTCCAGTATTTAAAAGGAATTTGCTTATAAAGGTAATATTTCAAGAATTCATTAGTATTATTTTCCCCAGTATAAGCTAAACATGAATGCATGTTTGCAAATAGTATAGTGAGATCAAGATCTTACCATCTGAAATTAGAACTGAGTTTGAATCCTAGTTTTGTTCTTTGGTGAGTTACTTAAATTCTTTGCACGTTCTTATCAGAAAAATGAAAATAATAATACCACTTCATTAGATTACTGTGAAGATTAATCTACCTAAATTGTTCACCATAGTCAAGGCACGTTACTATTACTAGGTATTATTAGTGAAAGGCACTTTATTTACTGTGCAGCTGTGCTTTGGGGGTAAGTAGGCTTGGTTCTCATAGCTTCTTTCTCCTATTAAGTAATGCTTGCGTGGTTAAGATCTAGGGGACTTCTCAGATTATTTTATGGCATAGACAGTGAGATGCTTTAGCGTCATTGGTAGAAATAAAAATGTGCTGGGGCTTTTGGGGAGAAACTGTGTATTTAAATATAAGTTAGAGAGGCCAGACAAACCACAGGGTGTGAGTCCCCTTACCTGCAGGTGACATCTGCATGTCTTCCCAACAGATGAATCCGTAAGAGTAGCCATTTAGATGTGGAAGGGCAAATCCTAGGATAAACACATAAACTAGTAGAAGTTTATTGTGTTCTGAGTAATCAGATTATTAGTTTTCGAAAAACCATGTAAAACTCTATCTGTATCTTGAGGAGAGAACCTCACTAATTCACCTGGTGACTATAACCCTCTTTAATTTTTTATGGTAGAAAATATGATAGGAAGCTGTTCATTACAGTGTAGATTTTTAGAAAATCACACTAGATTTTACTGCAATTTTGGTGAGAGATGGAGGATCCTAGTCTGTTGGACCAGTGATGTATTTTCTAATGAGTTAATGTTTTTTAGTGTGTTGAAGATGAACTTTGGTGTTTGGAGGTTACATAGTGTTGAAATATCTTGAACTCAGCACCAGCTAAGAGAAACCTTTCATATCTATGACCACCGCATTTTCTTTTTGGAATGATTGGGGATGCAAGGTTTTGTCTTGTTTTTCCTTTTAGTAGTGTGATGGATTCTGGGTTTGGACATTTTTGTTGTTGTTCAGGTGCTAACACCATGTAGTTAGACAGAGTGAGACCTAGGTTTAATAAGGAGTAAAATAATGCATGTAATTGCAGCGAAAAGGTTTTACTGTTTACTGTATTTTTTGTTTTGTCTATTTTTTGTTCTTTCTTTTCTTTTTTTAATTTCAAGGACCCTAAACTACTGTCAATGGCATATTCAGCTGTTGGAAAACTCTCCAGGTGAGTAAACTCTTTTTTAGTGAGAGATATGGTGTTGGTAAACTGAGAAAAATTATGTGGCATTTAATAATGGTGGAGAATAAATTTGTTGTGACTCTGAAAGGCAATGTATTTAATGGCCATAGGTTGTTTAGAAATGTCTTCTGTGTAGAAGGAAAAAGATGTGAGATATTTTAATTTACATTTGAAGGTATGTTACTGTATTAAATGGTGGTCTTGAAATGAGAGTTTGAACTGAATTGTGTCATAATGGGTTACTTTTTTTGTACCCTAGAGACTTTCGATTGACCTTAAGTGTTTTTGTTGCTACTTGGCACTAATTTTTATAAACCCAGTGATCAAGGTTTTTCTAGTGATTCTCTTTTCTGAGAATGGTGTTTATGATTCTGAGTGGCCCTGACAGATTTTTTTTTTCTTCTCAATGTGATTTCCTCATTCCAGTTCCTCCTGGCTTCATCTTCCTTCACTGTATTTCAAAGCAGGGAGATAGACATGAAGCATCCTCAGTGGCACCATGTGCTGCTTCCACCCCCAGTGCAGGTTTTGTGTTGGCCTGTGTAGACCAGGTCTTGCTCTTCTCTACAGCAAAAGGAGCTTTGGGCTTTGGAAGAAAGCCACCCCAGATCAGTGGATATCGTGCCGGGTTGTCAGCCAACCTTGTCCCTTGTCTGTTTGCATGAAATAACAAAGCCCCTTTCCGCGACAGTCATTAGTTTAGATCACAATTTGGTCTTATCTAATTTCTTCCTGTTAAAATCAGAAATGTTAACTGAATGCATGGAATATTATAGAGGGGATATTTGGAAGATGTGTGTATTAATCAAGGGTTATTTAGATTAAAGAATTAAATAATTACTTAGAAAAATTTTCGGCTCTTGGAGGAAGTATTATAATGATGCTGACTTTGTCTTCAGAGAGTTCAGGAAAATTTGTGTTTAGTTTCATTTTTTCCCTTTTTCATCTCTTGGAAATTTATGATAGTAACAATATTTTTACATTCTTTTGCAGTCGAATGCCGCATTTATTCACTAAGGATATAGCGCTTGTGCAGCAGCTTTTTGAAGCCCTATGTAAGGTAGGGAAACAGCTGCTAAGTTTATGCTTTCTGTTTGGATGTTCCCCTGGGAACCCAACAGGGAGGGAAACATTTTTATTATCTTTATAGGAAGAGCCTGAGACTCGACTTGCTATTCAAGAAGCTTTATCTATGATGGTTGGAGCATACAGTACTTTGGAAGGGGCACAGCGAACTCTCATGGAGGCACTTGTGGCTTCGTACTTAATAAAGGTAGGTCTGTGTGAACTACAAAGCCTGGGTAGTATATGGTTTACATTTTTAAGAACAAAATTTGAATTGCTACTTAACTGTTTTGGTAATTAAGAGGAATATTTGCTTTCACTTGGGCTGTGATTTAGGATCTATTTTTAATTCTTCATGATGAAAATTTGACTTTAGGGGAGAAGGAGTGGTAGTATTCATAGCGATGCTTATGTTTAGAGCTTTCCATGTGGGAAAACTCTTCTTAATGCCTTGCCCTCTGAGTTAGAATTGTTTTGTCTTTGTAACTGGTAGCTGAGCACTACTGTCCGCTGGGGTAGAGTTCGATAGGTAACATTTTCAGAGAAAAGCAGAAGGGATGAAAGACAAATTCCGTATGTCAAAGTGAGTTTTTAGGAAGTGAGCCAGTACTATCATACATGCTCTTCTTCCTCTGGTCCTCTTTATTTGGTTTTCATGGGAATTTATAGGAGGATTTTGAATATCTATAGATATATACACACACATATATATGTAATATGTAAAATATTATATATTTGCTTTAGTTCTTTGTCCCACATTTTTAGGAGTAGAGAGGGAGATTGGAAGACAGAATGATACTAAAAAGTGTCAGTGAGATTAATATAAATTGTGTCCTAATGGAATTAGACTGACATGATTTGATATTTTGAGGGAATTTTAAATATTCAGAAAGGTATCTGCTTCCTATTAAAATATGGCAGGGTTAAATGTGCTATTACATACACTCAGAAAGCTTACTATGATGGAGTCCTATTGTTAAGTGCTCTTAGTGTGCAGTGCATGTGGTTCATGGTCATACATTATGGACAAAGGTGTGTAGGCGTATTTGGAAGCTCATTAGAATAGAATAAACTTGCTCCAGGTAACTTTACAAGGAAAGGTGATGCTTGTATAAACACTTATAGATACTGGTTCTATGCATGCAAATCAAATCGTGTAACACTATTACCAAGACAAAGCTAATTTCTTTTCTTTTCACAGACAACATTTAAAGCAACCAAACTCTAGGTTAGTTATGTAATTTAGGCTAGTCTTTAATATCCTCACTCTTTAATGTACTTCAAGGAATGCTAAATAGCAAGAATGCCAGAATGAGTGGGACAATATATATATTTTTAATGTCTGTCTTATTTCACTTATGTTTGTGGCTAGAGGAGTGACCTGGGGAAGTTACATAAGAGTAAAGCTTCAGGATCAGTAGATTCTAAAACTTTTCTGGTTGAACTTTGTAGTCATAGATTATTAATCTCGGTTAATTGAATATATTTCTGTAGTTGAACTGCTTTGGAGTCAGTTTTAACTTTAGAGCTAATCTGAGAACATTGGAAGTATTTTGCTTCAAATTGGTGGGGATTCCAAGTAGGCTCTGTTTGTAATTTCTGCAAAATACCTGAGTTTCACTCATGTGACTGACAATTTGAGAGTTGGAGTGGCAGAGGTGGTGGCCAGAAACTGTCACAGTGACCCTGGCCCCGAGGTTTGGGCTGAGGATGTGCAGAGATTCTCTACTTACGGTCTTTGGAGGTCTTCCGGCTTTACCTGGAGGATCGTCTAAAATTGTAAGAGTACTCTAAGTAATGCCAGTGTCCAAAAGACTTAAACAACATGATTAAAGATCTTGAACAAATGATTAATTTATTTAGATACACATTTATTAAAATGTCACCTTAGAATTTTGAATTGTTTACAATTAGGAAGACTCGATTGGGACTAATGACTGGTAATTGATTTTTTTTTTTCCTTTTTCTTTTTTGGATTGGGGTGGTCTGTGCATGTTTACACATCAAATAGCCTGAGGTTCAAGTTCGACAAGTGGCTGTGAAATTTGCCAGCACGGTGTTTCCCTCAGATCATATCCCTTCCAGATATTTGCTGCTACTGGCTGCAGGAGATCCGTAAGTTTCAAAAGATGTTAATTTGAATTTTGGTTTATTTTGAATTTATTTGAAAATTACTAAAAGTTGTGTTGTTTACAATGTTGGTCTATGAAATTTAGAAGCGAAGCTATTTATTAAGGTATGGCTCTTGATGTGATATAGACCTGTACTCATATACCTATATATTTATATAATAATATAAATATTACATGTATTTGTCTATATAATATATATTATGTAGATATATATGTGCAATATATGATATATAGCTAATACAGAAAATGCTTATGAAATGGTCAAGTGTAAATAAAGCAGATTATATGATTGCATGTGTAATATAATTATATCTCTAAAATCAAGCCCTGTGTAAGGAGAAAAAAGGCTGATGTTGATGGTTTGACATATGTATTAATATTTTATTAAATATTGGAGTATCATTTTATATCTAATATACTTATATTTTTAAATGAGGTATAAGTTGCATTTTATATTAATTATATTACTGTATCTTCTAGCGTGTATAATGCATTTTAAAAGAATGTTTAAATTGTTTTGAAATTGGGACATGCCTTTAAAAGTCATGTACATACAATGAAATATATATGCACATATTAAAACAATTCTTTTCAAATCTGTTACATATCTTATGGTCATTGCTATCTTAAAATCCATGCAGCACTCTAATCTATTTCATAATATTAAACCAGTACTACGTTTAACATTTAGAATTTTTGCATCCTTTAAGTGAGATTCTTGTATATGTTTTTTTGTTGTTGTTATCAGGGATAGCCTTATTTGGGGAGGTGAAAAGCCTCATTTATACTGAGGAATAGTTTAAATAAAATAACGCATTCTATGATGATATGAACACCCTTGCCCATAAACTGTTATGCTTCATTTTAAAAAAATGGGTAATTCCTTGATAACTGTGTCAGTATTCTAGTTGGCCAACTGTGTGCCCCTCATGGCATTTGTTTTCTTTCCTATAAGTTGTATATATTTTGCTGTTATTTATTTGATATCACAAGTTATTACCAGGCCCTGATTTTTGACTTCTGATCTTGGCTGCTGCTTCTCATAGAGCACATTTCAATTTGGTTAAAGTGACTTTGGATTGTTAATGTTGATTCTGGTGCTCTGTTGCTTCTTAATTTTTTTACATTAGTTTCCCAACCACAGGCCAGATGTACTGGGGCCTGGCAGCCAAGATGGCAGTTCATGTTAGAGCAAGGATTTAAATCTAGGGAGTTGGACTTCCAGATAGAGCTCTTAACTGCTGTATCTTATTTCCGTAAGTGCTGAAAATTATTTTTATTTAAGAAACCAGAATCAAAGCATAACTAATTCAACAGTTTTCCTTCTTGGGTTAAAACCATTCAGGTCAATTGAAAATCCTCTGACAACTTAAGGAATTATTTATTTATTCTTTTCGACCCTTTATCTGTTGTTTGGAAAATGAGACATGAACAAAGGCAATTGAGGAATTAAAAGGCCTTTATATGGTATCTGGATAAGACTGTTGCTGAGATCAATCTCTAGGTGGTCTGAAATTGGTTGGGGTTTATGTTTTTACACTTTAATGTCACTTATCAGTTATTAATTGTACAGAATTGTAAGAGTTTGGGTGGAGTGTGTAGACCACTGGATAGTCACTGATTTTTAAAATATATTTTATAGTTTACGATTTAACTCTATGAGGTAAAGCATACACATAGAAATTTACATCATTACTTACAGTATCCTATCTTGTTTTTTTCTAAGTCAAATTGAAAGATGGAAGCCGTGTGACTCCCCAGACCTCATGCAATTTCTAAAAAGAAGTGATTTCTTATAATGTGTTGACTCTGCTTAGATAGCCAAGAATGTATTTAAGACATTTTCTGAGAACTCTAGCTAGCAAATAAAATTGCTGTTCTTACTTTTCAAATGATCATTTCCAATTGGTGACATTTATTTTTTATTCTTATTTGTCTTTTTCTGAAAGACGTGAAGAAGTTCATGGAGAAGCACAACGCGTGTTAAGGTGTCTTCCAGGTAGAAACAGAAAAGAAAGTACTTCTGAGCAGATGCCTTCCTTCCCAGAAATGGTATATTACATCCAAGAAAAGGTATGGCATGCAACTTAAGGTAATTAGTCTAAATCATAATGGATGATGAAAATGAAAACATTCATCTTTAAAGTGAAAAATGTAATCACTAAATGTTGACTCATAAAATTTCTTTTTTTTTTTTGAGGTGGAGCTTCGCTCTTGTTGCCCAGGCTAGAGTGCAAATGGCACGATCTCGGCTCACTGCAACCTCCACCTCCTGGGTTCAAGTGATTTTCCTGCCCCAGCTCCCGAATAGCTGGGATTATAGGCGCCCGCCACCAAACCCGGTTAATTTTTTGTATTTTTAGTAGAGACAGTGTTTCACCATGTTGGCCAGGCTGGTCTCGAACTCCTGACCTCAGGTGATCCACCCACCTTGGCCTCCCAAAGTGCTGGGTTTACAGGCGTGAGCCACCATGCCCAGCTGACTCATAAAGTTTCTAGCATTAATACTTACAATAAGGAGATACAAAGTGAGGGAAAAAAAATTATAATTCTCACCTGTAATTGATCTGTTTTGCCTAAACTTGAATTACTTATAATTCCTTTCATGCTTGGCAACATTTAGGCTGTGTTAAATACTTTTTCTCTTAATATGACATGCTTAAAAATACATCTCCTTTTTTTTTTTTTTTTAATTTTTTTAATTTTTTTTGAGACAGGGTCTTGCTGTCACCCAGGCTGGAGTGCAGTGGTGTGGTCTCAGTTCACTGAAACCTCCACCTCCCAGACTCAAGTCATCCACCCTCCTCTGCCTTCTGATAGCTGGGACTATAGGCGTGCACCACTGTGCCTGGCTAATTTTTGTATTTTTTGTAGAGACAGGGTTTAGCTATATTGCCCACGCTGGTTCTCCTTTTTATTTTTAAGGGCACTCTTTAGGGTAGTATAAGGATGCTTCAGGGAGTAGTTCATGTTCTTCCCACCATGTTCGTAAGAGAGCATCCCATCTGTTTTTGTAAGTGTTTTCTGCTGGTAGATCCAGGATATTGGCAGTAATGACCATCCACCCCTTCCAGGCCTTGACTCTGTCCCACTTTGCCAGAGGACACCTTCCTACCTTTTACCTCCACTGGTGATCCTAACTCTTTGCTAGGTAGGCACCTTAAGGGAGTTGAAGGTCAGTATGCAGCAGCCATGATTCTATTTTCCATATAGCAACACAGTCTATTTGTAGTCAGAGGATTCTCTGTGCTTGTAGTTTCCTCTTACTTTCATTATTAATGAAAATAACTGGCATGCAGTGACCTGAGATGACCATATTAGTAGATGTGTGGAATAGGTTTATTATTTTTAAACAAGCCAGTACAAACATGGAAAAAGGGCAACACACTTGTCATTTAGTGTGTGACGGACATGCATGATCAACACAGTTAATAGGAAAGTGGAAAATGTTTTAATCAGAAAAAGAAGTAAACTTTGGACATGTAGCTAGAAATACAGTTGTTTTTGAGTTGAGGAAGGGCAGGTATGCTCCATTTTTCAGTAATTGTGTCTGTTTTGGACTTTTTAAACTTAGGCTTCTCATCGAATGAAAACTCCAGTCAAGTACATGACCGGGACCACTGTCCTTCCATTTAACCCAGCAGCCTTTGGAGAGGTAGAATTTTCATATATTTCTATTTACTTTTTGTAAGTGTTCTAAAAAGATCACACCACACCCAAAGAGGTATCTGTCATCTTGTTGTGTTTTAGGTAAACCCATATTGTGTCATTGTTCTTCATCTGGTTGTTTATTTAAAAAAACAGTATTGGGAAATTGGTATTATTTTAATTCATAGTGAAGTACGTAAATATATTTATTTCAGTGAGATTCTTTTTGTGAAAAAACTGGATGTTCTGTAGTGATTACTGTTGGGATTTTGCAGCAAGTTAGATTTGGGTTTTAAAGCCAACATGTTGTTGAGGTTGTTAGGGTTATTTAGTTTTGAAGGTTGGAGAGGATTAATTGATCACACTTATTAAGGGAAATTCTGTTTTTTAGATCATTGACTTGCACTAGGTAAATTATAAGAAGTAATCTTGTTCAGAGTAAGAATATTTACAGTGAATTTACTGCCTATCCTAACGATCAGTGAAAAAGCTTCCAGAGGATGGACTCCTTGGTAGCCTGTTTATATAAGGGTTGTTTTTGTTTGTTTGTTTGTTTATTTTTGAGAAGGAGTCTCACTCTGTTGCCCAGGCTGGAGTACAGTGAATGGCGTGATCTCGGCTCATTGCACCCTCGCCTCCTGTGCTCAAGTGAACGTCCTGACTCAGTCTCCTGAGTAGCCGAGACTACAGGCGTGCACCACCACTCCTGGCTAATTTTGTTATCTTTTTGGTAGAGATAGGTTTCACCATGTTTCCCAGGCTGGTCTTGAACTCCTGGGCTAAAGCAGTCCTCCTGCCTCAGCCTCCCAAAGTGTTGGGATTACAGGCGTGAGCCAGTGTCTGGTCTATATTAGAGGTTTTTATGGTGGTATATCTATTTTTCTGTAGATGAATTGAACCCATTTTCTCAAATTCTTGTGTCAGTGGAGTAAATACAACTGGAATTCTGCAGGAATAATAGGCCATTTGCTTCAGATGTCTGTCCTCTCTCTCTCTCTCTCTCTCTCTCTCTCTCTCTCTCTCACACACACACACACACACACACACACGGCTTTTAAAAAATAATGATTTTTATTATAATTTTTAACTTTTATTTTAGGTTTGAGGTTACATGTAAAGGTTTGATATGTAGGTAAATATGTGTCATGGGGGTTTGTTATATATACTATTTCATTACCCAGATATTAAGCCCAATACCCCATAGTTATCTTTTCTGCTCCTCTCCCTCCTCCCACCCTCTCTCTTCAAGTAGACCCCAGTGTCTGTTGTTTGCTTTTTTGCATTCAGAAGTTCTTATCATCTGACTCCCACTTACAAGTGAGAACATGTGGTATTTGATTTTCTGTTCCTGCTTAGTTTGCTGATAACAGCCTCCAGCTCCAATTTCTGACAAAAGTTCAGTTTGTATTTTAACAATCTTAAAAAAATTCTTTGGATTTGCAAACCTTGTTATACAAATTTTGCTCCATTATGGCATATTTTCTGCCTTCCATGAGGATTGGAATAGCTTTATAAAGAAGGGTAGGTGAATCAAAACTAGAAATTGTTACTTTGAAGAGTACCTTCCCACACTGACTTTTCGAGAAGCTTATACAGTCTTCCTCTCCGTTCTGTTTGTAGATCGTTCTGTACTTGCGCATGTGCCTCGCGCACAGTGCGGGGGTGGTGCCCACCTCTCAGAGTTTGGCTGATATGCAGGATCATGCTCCAGCCATTGGACGCTACATACGGACTTTAATGTCAGGCGGGCAGACGGCACCCTCATCATCTTCTAACAAGAGTGGGGAAACTAACCCTGTCCAGATCTACATTGGCCTGCTTCAGCAACTGTTAGCAGGTGTTGGAGGTAAGAATTTGCGACGCGAAGGGAAGATGTTGAAGCACTTAAACAAAAATCTAATTTTAAACTTAGCTAACAAATTATAGCAAAATTATTCTTTCTCTTCACTTCTGTAACCGAACATTAGCCTTTGTTTTTTTTTAAACTTATCTGATTCATTCTGGATACACTACTTATTTTTTCAGAAAGAAATACTAACAATAGATAATACATTTTTACTTTGGAAGTGGATGTGAAGAACAGGATATCCTTTTTATAGATAGCTCATCTGTAAATTTGCTGTAGTGAATCACATACTATATTTAGGTTGTGTAGGTTTTTTTTTTGTTTTGTTTTGTTTTTTAATAGAACTGAAAGAATGTGTGCTAAAGCAGTGGCCTTATACTTAAAAGGAATTTAGTGATCCCTGTATGTTCATTACTTTTCTTGAAATTTAAAGTGGTTCTAAATTCTTACTTAGGTTTGCCGGTTATGTACTGTCTATTGGAAGCTGTGTCAGTGTATCCAGAAAAGCTGGCTACTAAATTTGTAGACAAAACAGAATGGATAAAGGTATGTTCTGCATGTACCTTTTTTTATTTTTTAAAAAAATTGTATTTCAGACTTTAACCTCATAATTTCTTTTTCCTGCCAGCATCCCTATGACCTTTTCTGCCTTAAGGTCATTTTGAAAACTCTCTCATCATCAGACACTTACTGGGAAGCATGTAGGTCACTATGTCTCATTGACACATCTGGAGGAGAGTGGGAGATGAATTGAGAAGCATAGGAGTATAAAGAAAAATTCTTTTTCTGTTTCGAAATTTTTTTTTTTTTTAATAGAAAAAATAAGCAATGGGTTTGTGTAGTTTAAATAAAAACTATGTAAAATGTCTCTTTTCCATAACCATCTCCAACCTACCCTAATTTTTGCCCTTTCCTCTCCCCTCTGACAAACATATGTAAGTCACCATTTATGTATAGCATGCTTTCTAGAGTTTACTTATGTACATACACATAAAAACATGCATTTAAAATTTTTGTCCCATCTTTTTATAAAAAGCAGCATACTATTCATACTGTTTTATACATTCCTTCACTTAATAGTAGAGAGATATTGCACTACAACTATGGAGAGAGCATCTTCTTTAACAGCCTCAGTTTTTATTGTATGAGTGTACTATCATGTATTCTAGATCTTTATAGATGGTCATGTAGAGTACTTCCATTCTGCTATAATGAGTAATCTGTCATCTTGCATATTGAGGAAGTATATGTTTTAGATGGATTCCCCAGAAGTGCAATAGCTGGATCAGAGGACATGTACTTTTGTAATTTTCATAGATAATGCCACACCCTCCATGTGTGTGGTACCAGTGTACACTTCTGCCAGTCATGTATGAGGGTGTTCCTGTCCCATGGCCACACCAAAAGGGATGCCAGGTTTAGCAAGTAAAAATACAAGATACTCAGTTAAATTTGAATTTCAGATAAATAATGAATAATTTTTTTTTTTAGTGTAAGTATTGGCCCATACAGTTTTCTGTGTCTCCATGTGCTACATATTGTGGTTCTTTTTTTGGAAAATACAGCTTGAATGATGGTAAAAATGTACAAATTACGTCTTTAAGGGTGAAAACATGAAAGAAATTTACCAAGAGGTGTGAGTTTTGCACATTTCTGGATAATCTGGTCTTATGAAATTGCTTCTATTTAAAAAAGTTTTTTTTTATTTCTTATGAATATTTACTGATTTTAAAATTATTTTAAAGTTTTTGAGCTTTGATGTTTTAGATGAGAGGTTGTCATACTGTAGTCAAAAGTCCAAATAGGGCCTGCCTCCTGTTTTTGTATGGTTTGCAAGCTAAGAATGGTTTTTACATTTTTAAATGTGGGAAAAAAAATGAAGAAACGAATAAGTTTCATGACACAAACCTTGTCGTGTCCACGTTTTACTGGAACCTAGCCACGCTCATTCGTTGCGTATTGTCTGTTGCTGCTTTTGTACTGCAGTGGCAGAATGGAGTAGTTGCAGCAGAGACCAAATGGCCCATAAAGCCTTTCAGTTTTTTTACAGAAGTTTGCTGACCCTTGTTTTAGATCATCTGTGAATAAATTTCACCTGTTTTGTGCTTGTGTATATTTGATGAAAATGGACCTAAGATTTTGTTATATAATTCATTCAGCTTTTATTTTGTTTTCAAATAATAGCTTTTTTCCCTCAATATCCATCAACAGATGGATTGAACATTCTTTTAATTTTAAAAGATGTTGTCATCAGGCTCGTGGTTCTGTGTCATGTATGTATTTTTTTTATACTACTCAGAGTCTGATGAATAGCAGTAAAGAAGAAATGCGCGAACTGGCAGCATTGTTTTATTCTGTGGTGGTATCAACAGTGTCGGGGAATGAGTTGAAATCAATGATAGAACAGCTTATAAAGACTACAAAAGACAATCACGTATGTTATTTTGTTTTCATTCCTTTTTGTGGGAGATAGGGTTTCATAAAAGGATCTAATTTATTTTTGGTTTTTATCTTCTCATTTGTAAAATGAACTTATAAATTCCTTGCTTTTATTACTGTAAAGAGTAAATGAGATAGGTAATACATTGGTTCAGTCAGCTCACTTAACAAGTATGGTGCTGTGTCTGATAAGCACTATTTTAGGTGCCAGGAGTACAGTGATTCATAAATACATGAGAATCCCTGGTACAACAGGATGCTCAGAGCCTGCAGCGATACCACCGTGAGCACACCTAATCTCATCTGATCTTGGAAACTAAAACTAAGCAGGGTTAGGCCTGATTAGTACTGAGAGCGAGAAATGTTAGCTCCATTTTTCTTCCTCATCTACTGCTGCCAGTGAAAAAACAAGTTTTACTTCAAATAGTCTGTTGGTTACCTTGTGTTTGGAGGTTTTGGCAATTAGAAATAGGATCTGTTCATTGTCTTTTGTTGGCAATAGAAAGACATTATGTGTGAAAGTTATGATACTCTAGTTATGTAAGTGCTGTAAGCTAGAAAGTGGCGTGGGAGCATGTAGGAGCATGTAGTCATCTCACCTGGAATTGGAGTGGGCATGGAATTAGATAATGTAAATCTTAAAGTGAATCAAGATTCAGCTTCTCAAAATTCCGTTAGAAACTCAAGGTTTCTCTTATTCCCTAAGCTCAATGCATTAGCATCCAGTGAAACCTCAAGTGTTTACTTTATTCTTTAGCCTTATGTTTTGTTGGAGAGATGATCCTAATAGACACACAGTTACTGCCATGTAGTTTTGCATACATGAGAGAGAGCCAGAGATAAGCTATTGTTTTGCTAAATTCAGAGCCCGGAGATACAGCATGGATCCTTGCTTGCACTGGGATTCACGGTGGGAAGGTATTTGGCTAAAAAGAAAATGAGAATGGCAGAGCAACAAGACCTGGAGAGAAATGCTGACACCCTCCCTGATCAAGAGGAACTCATTCAGAGTGCTACAGAAACAATAGGTAATTAATGTCTTTATGCTGACTTGGGTGTTGCAGCTTTTGAATTATGTTAAATTTTAATATGGAGTTTCAGTTTCTTTTTATGGCATTGTACTTTAAAGACACAAGTTTTTTCACAAAAAACTTACTTGATAAATTCTGTATTTTTAATAACAACAAAGGCTGGGTGTGGTAACTCATGCCTATAATCTCAGTACTTTGGGAGGATCACTTGAGTCCAGGAGTTTGAGACCAGTCTAGTCAGCATAGTGAGACCTAGCCTCTATAAAAAAATAAACAAACTTAGCTTGGTATAGTGGCGTGTACCTGTAGCCTCAACTTCTGAGGAGGCTAAGGTGGGAGAATCACTGGAGCCTGGGAGGTCGAGGCTGCAGTGAGCCGTGATCATGCCACTGCACTCCCGCCTGGGTGACAGAGCTAGACCTTGTCTCAAAAAAACAAAACAAAACAAAAAACAAAGCAATGAAAGCACTCCATTTTTTCTTTTCTCTACGTTTTTTTTCTACATTTTTTTATAAACAGGGATGATCCTATTATGGTAAAAAAATGTATACATTAAAAAAAATACTACTCTATCCCCTGTTGCCATGTTGTCTTTCCACTGAATAAATGTTAACAAATTGTCAACTCAAAGATATTGTACACTTTGATTTTATTTTGCCATCTTAAAAAAATCTTGAGTACATCACTGGTTGCTTTGGGTCGTAAGAATAATGGTATATAATTCTCTTTTTGGCTAAATGTGCTTACAGGCTCATTTTTGGACAGTACATCACCCCTCCTGGCAATTGCTGCCTGCACAGCCCTGGGTGAAATAGGCAGAAATGGTCCACTTCCAATCCCCAGTGAGGGATCTGGCTTTACCAAATTGCATCTTGTAGAAAGCTTACTAAGTAGAATACCTTCCAGTAAAGAAACAAATAAGGTAAGTCTTTTTCTTATTTCTTCCCTTTCTGGAATTCTGTCTTTCTGTGAATAAATGAGCAAAAACAAATTATAATGAGAATAGATGGCATTACAGCTGGAGGAAGGATTTAATGTAAAAATGGGTGATAAAGAAGCAAATCTAAGTGTTTACTTTTGAACTAGAGGTGATCTGTGTACAATCTTAGTGTGTACATCTTTTGACCCAGTCATTCCAATTTAGATCTTTATAACTGTTAAGATTTGAGTGAAGTATTAAATTTATCAGGAAATATCTTTTGTCATGCAAAAGGTGTACAATAAAATGTTAAGTAGTTTTATGATTTTTTTTAAATTTTACGCCAAATATAAATCCTAACCGCCTAAAGCCAGTTTTGTGATCAGAACACCTCAATTTTGAGGTATAAGATGATTTAATGAGCAGAAATACCAGTTTACTACTACAAGTTTAATTGATACAATCTTTTTTTTTGAGATGGAGTTTTGCTCTTGTCGCTCAAGCTGAAGTGCAGTGGTGCGATCGTGGCTCACTGCAACCTCTGTCTCCCAGGTTCAGGCGGGTGATTCTCCTGCCTCAGCCTCCTGAGTAGCTGAGATTATAGGCGCATGCCACCATGTCCAGCTAATTTTTGTATTTCTAGTAGAGGTGGGGTTTCACCATGTTGGCCAGGCTGGTCTCAAACTCCTGACCTCGGGCACTCCCACCTGCCTCAGCCTCCCAAAGTGCTGGGATTACAGGCTTGAGCCACCAAGCCTGGCCTAATTGATATAATCTTAATCTTGGTCTAGCTACTGTTTAAAACTTTCTGAGAAGATACACAGTATAGTTTTTATTAGCTATTAACTAATCATTGCCAAATATTGTTAAGCACTTCTAATGTGCCAGAGAGTATGTTAAGTGCTTTGCGTGCATTAGTTGAATTTTCTAAAAGGTTTAGTGAAATAGGCACAGTTGTCATCTCTATATGAGCTAACATGAGGAAACAGCGTCACAGAGAGGGGAAGTAACTTGCTTAAGGTCACACACCAGTATAGGCTGAAATGGTTGAGATGTGATTTGGTCCTAGGTCCACTGGGCCCAGAACCCACATTTTAAATCATTATAGTTTGAAAGGTAATAAGCCTAAAGGCTTTCTTCTTTCTTCTTTTGCAGCTGTGGATCCTTAGTGGACTCAAATTTGTGTGTTTCTACCTTCAATGACTTACAGACATACAACTGTAAAATTTGATGCTTTTGTAAAAACTTACGCATTGAGGTGTTAGATAGACTGCCCTTCCCTGTCATCTCATTTTGGAAATACTGTGCTGGGGTAAAGCTAGTATATACTCTGTTTAAAAGAAAAAAATTTGATGTTCTTCCAGATGAAAGAACGAGCAATCCAAACACTGGGATATTTTCCAGTTGGGGATGGAGATTTTCCTCACCAGAAACTCCTCTTGCAAGGTCTGATGGATTCTGTGGAGGTATTTATATTGCTACCTGATTGTTAGTTATTCAAAGAAAAGGCATTGGTTTTTGTTTTTTTTTTTAGGTGCAGTTTTGCATGCTGTGAGATTTCTAATTAAGCATTTACTTGTTTATTCACCAGATACTTGAATACTAGTTTTGTGCTCATCACTGTGCTAGGTATAGCATTGACTAAATCACCTATGAAGGAAAGACCTTAAAATTTTTGAGCACAGCACGGTGCAGTGTAGGTAGAAGGGGAAATATACCCACATACCCTGTCAGCCAGATGTGTGGAGTGAGCCTTTAAAAAACAGTTGTTCTTGAGTGTTTCAGTTGGTATTTCAGTTGTTTTCAAGTCTGATGATTTAGCTTCTGTCCTCTAGATGCCTAGTGTGTAGTAGAGAAGACCTACGAGTAGGCAAATGCCAGGATAGTGTACTGTCTCAGCATGGCCTGATCTGGCCCTGCTTTCCCTAGCCTTGATCCTTGACGTTTACTCACTTTCTGTATACCAGCCTTTTTGGCCGCCTTGTACTGAGCTTTTGAAAGCTTCCTACTTCCTTCTCAGATTGTTGCCTTGCTAAAGAATCTACCCTAGTAGATTTAAATCCCTGAGTGTGGTGGGTTTCTTCTAGGTGTTTTTTTTTTTTTTTTTTTTGAGATGGAGTTTCACTCTGTCTCCCAGGCTGGAGTAAAGTGGCGCAATATTGGCTCACTGCAACCTCCACCTCCCGGGTTCAAGCAATTCTTCTGTATCAGCCTCCCAAGTAGCTGGAATTACAGGTGCACGCCACCACACCTGGCCAATATTTGTATTTTTAATAGAGACGGGGTTTCACCATATTGACCAGGCTGGTCTTGAACTTCTGACCTCAGGTGATCTGCCCACCTCAGCCTCCTAAAGTGCTGGGATTACAGATGTGAACCACTGCACCCGGCCTGTTTTGTTTTTTTTTTAATGAAGTCTTCTCTGGATTCTTAACTTACTTTTAATGTCATTATTTTAAGAGTTTAGAAATACATGAAAATCTAGAAGTATGGAAATAAGGTACAGAGATTAAATGATGAGAATAATGAAAACCATGAAACAGAAGCAGAATATCTTCACAGTCGAATAGGACATAGTGCTGAAGGTTTTTTTTTTTTTTTTTTTTTAATTGTTTTATTTATTTATTTTATTTTTACAACAGGATCTCATTCTGTCACCAAGGCTGGAGTACACTACATCTCCCAGGCTCAAACCATCCTCCCACCTCACCTTCTAAGCAGCTGGGACCACAGGCATGCGCCACCATGCCTGGCTAATATTTTAATTTTTTGTAGAGACAGGGTATCCCTATGTTGCTTAGGGTGGTCTTGAACTCCTGGGCTCAAGTGATCCTCCCACCTAGATCTCCCGAAATGCTGGGATTACAGGCATAAGCCACTGTGCCTCTCCCATTTTTAATTTTTTAAATTGATACATAATAGTTGTACGTATTTATGGGATACATATGATATTTTGATACAAGCATACAATGTATAATGATCAAATTAGGGTAATTGGGATATCCATCACTGTAAGCATTTTTCATTTCTTTGTGTTTGGAGCATGTCAGATTTTCTCTTCTCGCTGTTTTGAAATATACAATAAATTCTTATTAACTATATTTGCCCTGTTGTGCTGCCAAACACTAAAACTTAATTTTTCTAACTGTATTTTTGTTCCCATTAGCCAAGCTCTCTTCCCTGCCTCTCCATTACCTTTCCTGGCCTTTGGTAACCACCATTTGTTCACTACTTCCATAAGATCAATTTTCTCATGTATAAGTGAGAACATCGGATATTTGCTCTGTGCCTGGCTTATTTCACTAAATACAATGTCCTCCAGTTCCATCTATGTTGCTGTCAGCAACAGGATTTCATTCTTTTTTATGGCTGAATAATATTCCATTGTGTATATATACCACTTTTTAAAAATCCATTCACCTGTTGCTGGACACTTAGATTGATATCTTGTTTTGGCTATTGTTAGTAGTGCTGCAGTAAATATTGGAGTACAAATACCTCTTCAGAATACAGATTTTCTTTCTTCTGGATATATACTTAGGATACATACTGGGATTGCTGGGTTATATGATAGTTTTTTAGTTTTTGGAGGAATCTTCATACTGTTTTCCCACCAACAGTGTATTAATGTTCTCCTTTCTTCACATTCTGACTATCATCTATTGTTTTCTGTCTTCTTGATAATGGCTATTCTAACTAGGGTGAGATGAGATCTCATTGTGGTTTTTCTCTGCATTTCTATCATGATTAGTGATGCTGAACTTTTTGTCATATACCTGTTGGCCATTTATATACCTTTTTTTGAGAAATAACTATTCAGATCTTTTGTCCATTTTCAAATCAGATTGTTTATTTGCTATTGAGTTGAATTCCTTACTTATTGTGTATTTTAATCCCTTGTCAGATGGATAATTTGCAGATATTTTCTTCTATGCAATAGGTTGTCTCTTCACTCTGTTGGATGTTTCCTTTGCTGTGCAGAAGCTTTTTAGCTTGATATAATCCCATTTGTCAATTTTTGCTTTAGTTGGTCTGTGCTTTTATGATCTTACTTAAGAAATCTGTGCCCAGACCAATATTCTGAAATGTTTCTCCAATGTTTTTTTGTAGTAGTCTCAACATTCAGATCTTAGATTTAAGTCTATTTTGGTTTGATATGGTGAGACAAAGGGGCCCAGTTTCATTTTTCTACATGTCGATATCTAGTTTTTCTAGCACAGCTTACTGAAGAGACTGTTCCTTCCTCAATATATGTTCTTGATGCCTTTGTTGAAAATTGAGTTGACTGTAAATGGATAGATTTATCTTTGGGTTCTCTATTCTGTTCCATTGGTGTATGTGTCTGTTTTTATGCCAGTTCCATGCCGTTTTGCTTACCATAGCTTTGTAATACATTTTGAAGCCAGGTAATGCAATGCTTCTGGCTTTATTCTTTTTGCTCAGTATTTTTTGCTCATTATTCAGGGTCTTTGGTGGTTTCATACAAATTTTAGGATTGTTTTTCTAGTTCTGCTTTGATGAACGTCATTGGTATTTTGATAGGGATTATGTTGAATCTGTTGATCATTTTTGGTAGTTTGGAAATTTTAATAATACTGTTTCAATCCATGAACTTGGGATCTGTCTTCTCTTTTGTGTGTTCGTTATAATTTCTTTCATCAATGTTTTATAGTTTTCATTACAGAGAGCTTTTACTTCTTTGGTTATAATTTATCCCTAGGTTTTTGTTTTTTGGGTTTTTTTGGTAGCTGTTATAAGTGGGATTGCTTTCTTGATTTCTTTTTAAAATTGTTTGCTGCTGGCAAATTAGTCTGTTCTCACACTGCTGTAACTGGGTGACTTATAAAGAAAAGAGATTTAATTGACTTACAGTTCTTCAGGCTGTACAGTAAGCATGGCTGGGAAGGCCTCAGGAAACTTACAATCTTGGCAGAAGGCAAAGAGGAAGCAGGCATGTCTTAGATGGCAGGAGCAGGAGAAAAAGAACAAAGCGGGAGGTGCTACACACTTTTAAACAACCAGACCTTGTGAGAACTCACTCACTATCAGAACAGTAAGGAAGAAGTCCACTCCCATGATCCAGTCACCCCCCACCAGGTCCCTCCTCCAACATCGGGGATTACTATTCAGTCATGAGATTTGGGCAGGGACACAAATCCAAAACATGTTACATATAATGCAACTGTTTATATGTTGATTTTGTATCCTGTAACTTACTGACTTTATCAGTTCTAATAATTTTTTATTTATCTTTTAAAGAACCCAATTTTTCATTTCATTAATCTTCTGTAGTTTTTTAAGTCTCAATTTCATTTACTTCTGTTCTGAATTTTATTATTTCTTTCCTGTATTTTGGGTTTGCTTTGCTTTTGCTTTTCTAGTTCTTTAAAATGCATCATTATGTTGTTTATTTGAAGTCTTTATACTTTTCTGATGTAAACATTTATTGCTATAAACTTCCCACTTAGCACTGCTTTTGCTGTTTCCCATAGATGTTGGTATGTTGTGTTTTTATTTTCATTTGTATCAAGACATTTTAAATTTTTCTTTCTTAATTTTTTCGTAGATCCATTGATTGTTCAGGAACGTGTTATTTAATTTCCATGTATTTCTATAGTTTCCAAAGTTCCACTTGTTATTGATTTCTAGTTTTATTCCATTATAGTCAGAAAAGATACTTGATATGATTTAGATTTTTTTAATTGCTTGAGACTTGCTTTGTGGTCTAACATATGGTCTATCCTGGAAAATGTTCCATGTGCTGATGAGTAAAGATGTGTATTCTACAGCAGTTGGATGAAATGTTCTGTAAATGTCAGGTCCATTTTGTCTAAAGTGTAGTTCAATTTTGATTTGGGTTGCTTGATTTTCTGTCTGAATGACCTGTCCATTACTGGAAGTGGGGTGTTGAAGTCAGTCTTCAACTATTATTGTGTTGCAGTCTATCTCTCCCTTTAAATCTATTATGCTTTATACGTTTGAGTGCTCCAATACTGTGTGCATATATATTTATAACCTTTATATCCTCTTGCTGAATTGAGCCCTTTATCATTACATAATGACCTTGGTCTTTTTCTAGTTTTTGACTTGAAGTCTTAATCTGATGCAAGTATAGTTACTTCTATTCTTTTTTGGTTTTCATTTGCATGAAGTATCTTTTTCATACCTTTACCTTCAATCTGTTTGTATCTTTATAGGTGAGGTGAATGTCTTTTTTTTTTTTTCCGAGATGGAGTCTCGCTCCATTGCCCAGGCTGGAGTGCAGCAATCTCAGCTCACTGCAGCCTCCACCTCCTGGGTTCAAGTGATTCTCCTGCCTCAGCCTCCCAAGTAGCTGGGCGTACAGGCACAAGCCACCATGCCTGGCCAATTTTTTTTATTTTATTTTTTTTTAGTAGAGACGGGGTTTTGCCACATTGGCCAGGCTGGTCTTGAACTCCTGACATCAGGTGATTTGCCCACTTTG